TTACTTTAGTTCTCCTACTTCCTATAACTAACTAATATAATTATAACTAGGTTAGTTCCTACTATTGTTTATTAATTTAGTTACTTCTACTATATTTAATACCTATATAAACTCTATAGAGTAGTTTTAGCTTAATATAGTTAGTAAATATTTAAATTAAATATAAAAAGCGTTTCTTTCTAATCTAAATTCTAGCTTATTAATATTAATTATATTGCTCTAGGTAATATAGCTATATAGAACTCTAGGTATAGTATTAACCCTAGTCGGAAGACGCGACAAGCGAAACTCTAATTTAGCGTGACGTCACCACAGCAACGAGGAAGGAGCATCAGAGCGACAACTTCACCTCATGGCTTCGGAGTCCTTGCAAGCATTATTGACGACTCAAGAGAGCAAATCCAAGACATCGGCCTCGAGATACTTGACACGCCCTAATTGCCAAAAGGAACAACATCCCGATCCGACGTAAACCTCGCCTGCGCCATCGTCACAGTGAAATCCTCGAAGTCGAACGTCAGATACGTCTGCCGAATGAACGGGTCGCCCAAAACCCCAATACCATTGGAAATCTCGTAGCCATTCGAGATATCCGCGCCGCAGGTGCCGTTGTTGAAATCGATGACGAGCTGCGAGAGGGGCACGTCGATTCTGTTGTCTGGGTTTCCGCCGAATTCGTAGCTGATCTTTTCGGTGTTGGGGAGCTCGCGATACTTGCAATCCACGTAGATGCCGCCAACGTGGGAGGTGTGGGTTTCGTTGGGGTTGCCGAGGGATGCCATGACTTGGCTCCATAGTGGCTCGGGGATTGTTAACTGGGCTTGTGTTAGTTTTCATCTTGAGGACATTGAGGGTATTGCTCACCAGTGGGTTGCCAGTATCGATGAGCGTCGTGTTGAATGGATTCAACGGCAGCCTCGTCACATCGCCATTGATCGTGGACGAGATGGCTGAAGCGTTGACGCTATTCGTCTCGGAGTTGAAATATGCCATGGGCAACTTGAACGGCGTGCTCCCCTGCTTCGCCTTGTCGTATGCACTGCCGAGGATTACCTCAGAATTGTTGACGGTGGGCGCTTCTGGACCGAGATAAATGCTGACGCTCCGCCGGTTGATCTTCTTCTTCTCGTACAGCTCGGGGACGAGGTAGTATCCGGACTGGTAACAGCTGTCGTCGAACTTGTTGCACAGAAGGGCGAGCCCTGATACCTTCAGCAACTCACATGATGGTTCTACGAGAGTGACTTACCCAGAATCGTAGCAGTCGGCACGGCGACCTGCTCAACGCCAAACCCGTAATCATCGAGATAACCAAATTGCAAAGGACCGACGTTCTGGTCTCCAATCTGCACGATATCCTGCAAGACAGAGCCGCTTCCGAAATCGATCAGTCCGTCGCCGAAGTCGTTGCTGATCCAATGGCATGTCCTGCCACCATCGCATTCAACATCAGATCAAGACTATTTGCAAGAAGACAGAGGGCACACATACGACGAGGAAGTATTGTCGAACGTCCCATATTCCGCACAAGGCTTTGACTCCAGCGAACAGACGTTGTTGTTGGGATTCTCGAAACTGATAGTTCCGCTGCCCGTGTCCACAAGCAGATATTCTTCCTGCGGCGGCGTGCCGACCTTGAGTTTGGTAAGGTAAGCGGAGTAGTCTCCTTTTCGGACGAGGGCGAAGGAGATTGCGCCTGTGGGTAGAGATGCGCCTGATGCGGCTGCTGTTAGGGTAGAAAGGAGGATGCTGGTATACATGATGATGGGGTGAGGTCGAGATAGAGTATGCCGAGAAGGAACATTCTGGCTTGGCATGCCGGGTTATATACCTGGTTGACGTGTATGCGTGTATGCGAGAGTTCGGCGATACGAGGTGAATCAAGTGCGAGTGGACCATGGGAGAGGTTACTTTCCTTGGGCGATCACTTGGATGTGTAGACGGCATCGGACTACGCAGAGCAGTTTAGTCTTCATCCGAGATCCGCGTCAGGCTTCCCACTGCAGAAGTTGTACGATTCTTCGAACTTTGCTGGAAGTCGCGGCTCTTCACAGACCGAACTGGTGCCATGTCCAGCATGCAGACGACAGTCAAAGCAGTGTTGCGAACGTTGTGAGGTGGTGTTGGCCCCCATGGCCCCCATGGCCCCCACTGCGGTCTCTCGCGAATGGCGAGCGGCGAGCGGACGAGGTTTCCAGCCTGGGCGAGCGACGAACGACTCGCAACCCTATAAACGACCTTGATCTCTGGGCTTACGCTGCCGGTACCAGTTATTAGCCCGTGGAAGCTTTGACATGATTTACTAGCTCACGCCTTTCGCTCCGCCATTGGCACCTGCACAGCCACGAAGATAGCAACTGACCTCCAACTCGCAGGATTACTGAGCCCAGGCTGACGGCCACGTTCCTCTCGCTTCTCAGCACATGCCGTTCGCGGAGAGAGGGCGATGTGAGGCCGCAGCGTCGGTGAGCTTCCAGCACAGAGTTTGATCACTGCAGTCGCCCTGATTCCATCAATGTCGGTGTGGTGAGGCCGCCGCTTGACCGCACGCCGAGATCAGTCTGTGATATCATGGGTGTCTGCTCCCGATATGTCGCCACACCGTGTGCCGAGCAGGAAAGTGCCACTGGCACGAGAAACACGAAGAAGGTGCGCACGAAGTTATTCGGGTGTTCGGGGTGCCAGCAGTGGCCAAATCGTCCTGGAAGCGGATTGGCTCTTTGGTTACTAAGGCCACGAAAATAGAACATTGAGTGTACCTTGCATCACTAGCTCCGAGCGAGTACAAGCTCGTGGCCGTCCATATGCGGCGCAAGCGTTAACGAAGGGAACCGCAGCAGAACAAGTGCTATTGAGGTGTCTAAACAAAGGCTGGGTGCTGCAACCGGCCACGTTGTACGCCGGGAGAAGAATAATCAGGGGCGGAGGCTGAAACGAGAAGGCTAGTCATTGGGTGGCCACCAGGAATCCGACACGCCCACGCGTGCTTGGCGGTGTTGCCCTGTTATAAAACATACCTAGCTCTTCGCCTGTTTTCCGTCATCATTCACCTCTCTTTCCCCTATCCACGCACTCGCTAATAACCACAACGACTCCACGGCCTTCTCACACCTGCGCTCATTGTTGACAGCAGCAGGTCCCACGAACTTACGACCGTCGTTCGTGCCTTCCCGTTGTTTTCTTGGCAAGAACCCTTGATTTGAAGCTCGGCCCATCACCTCCCTCACACCGACCGTCGCTTGGGACGACCGCTGCCCACTCTTTCACCACATCACCTGAGCTACACCACAATACCGCCAACATGTGTGGAATCTTCGGCTACATCAACTACCTCGTCGAGAAGGACAGGAAGTACATCCTCGACACGCTCGTGAATGGTGAGTGCCAGCTTCTCGAGCTGCTCGTGAAAACGCGAAGCTGACAGCGCCCGCTCCAGGCCTTTCCCGCCTTGAGTACAGAGGCTACGACTCCGCCGGTCTCGCCATCGACGGCGACAAGAAGAATGAGGTGTTCGCGTTCAAGGAGGTCGGCAAGGTCGCCAAGCTCAAGGAGCTGATTGCACAAGAGCAGCCAGACCTCACCAAGGTCTTCGACAACCACGCCGGTATTGCACACACCCGATGGGCCACTCACGGCCCACCAAGCAGAGTTAACTGCCATCCTCACCGCTCAGACCCCAAGTGGGAGTTCGCGGTCGTGCACAACGGCATCATCACAAACTACAAGGAGCTGAAGGCTCTGCTCGAGACAAAGGGCTTCAAGTTCGAGACTGAGACGGATACTGAGGCGATTGCGAAGCTCGCCAAGTACATCTACGATGCCCACCCAACCATCGACTTCACCACCCTCGTCAAGGCTGTCATCAAGGAGCTGCAGGGCGCTTTCGGTCTTCTCATCAAGAGCGTGCGCTTCCCTGGCGAGGTGGTCGCAGCCCGTAAGGGTTCGCCTTTGGTTGTTGGTGTGCGCACCCAGAAGAAGATGAAGGTCGATTTCGTCGACGTTGAGTTCGGTGAGGGTGGTGAAGTCCTCCCAGCCGAGCAGGCCAGCCAGAACGTCGCCCTCAAGAAGAGCCCAGGTCTTCTCGGCGGCAACCTCCTCGCACCACCAGACAAGTCGCTTCTTCACCGCTCGCAATCGCGAGCTTTCCTCTCAGACGATGGCGTCCCACAGCCAACCGAGTTCTTCCTCTCCTCCGACCCAGCCGCCATCATCGAGCACACCAAGAAGGTGCTCTACCTCGAGGACGACGACATTGCCCACATCCACGAGGGCCAGCTCAACATCCACCGTCTGTCCAAGAGCGACGGCACTAGCAACGTCCGTGCCATTCAGACCCTCGAGATCGAGCTGCAGGAGATCATGAAGGGCAAGTTCGACCACTTCATGCAAAAGGAGATTTTCGAACAGCCAGAGTCGGTCGTCAACGCCATGCGTGGTCGTCTGAACGTGGAAGAGAAGACAGTGACCCTGGGTGGTCTCAGACAATACATCAGCACGATCCGCCGCTGCAGACGTCTGATATTCATCGCTTGCGGTACCTCATATCACTCCTGCATGGCTGTGCGTGGAGCGTTCGAGGAGCTCACTGAGATCCCAATCTCGGTTGAGCTGGCTTCTGATTTCCTTGATCGTCAGGCCCCAGTCTTCCGCGACGATACCTGCGTGTTCGTCTCTCAGTCTGGTGAGACCGCCGATTCCCTGATGGCTCTGCGCTACTGCTTGGAGCGCGGTGCCCTCACCGTTGGTATCGTCAACGTGGTCGGTTCCAGCATTTCGCTCATGACCCACTGCGGTGTTCACATCAACGCCGGCCCCGAGATTGGTGTCGCCTCCACCAAGGCTTACACCTCACAGTTTGTCTGCATGATCATGTTCGCTCTGTCGCTCTCCGAGGATCGCGCCAGCAAGACACAGAGGAGACTGGAGATCATGGAGGGTCTCGGCAAGATCTCTGAGCAGTTCAAGGCCATCCTCAAGATGGATCAGGAGATCAAGAACCTGTGCTTGAAGTTCAAGGATCAGAAGTCTTTGCTGCTCCTGGGTCGTGGTGCACAGCACGCTACCGCTTTGGAGGGTGAGTTCAACCATCAACGCATGCTATCTACGCAATACTAACTTCGTAATAGGTGCCCTCAAGATCAAGGAAATCTCCTACCTGCACTGCGAGGCCGTCATGTCTGGCGAGCTGAAGCACGGTGTCCTCGCCCTCGTCGACGAGAACCTCCCCATCGTCATGATCCTCACCCGCGACGACATCTTCGCCAAGTCGCTCAACGCCTACCAGCAAGTCATTGCTCGCAAGGGTCGCCCAATTGTCATCTGCAACACCGGCGACAAGGAGTTCCCTGGCGAGAAGACCGACAAGATCGAGGTCCCACACACCGTCGACGTTCTCCAGGGTCTGCTCAACGTCATCCCTCTCCAACTCATGGCCTACTGGCTTGCCGTTGCTGAGGGTCTCAACGTTGACTTCCCACGTAACTTGGCCAAGTCGGTCACCGTCGAGTAGAGAAAGAGCACAGAGGAAGTTGGAATGATAGGATACAAAGCTTGCTCAGCTGGTTCTGCGCGTTGTCTTACTAGAACAAGTGTGATTGTAGAGCATCTAGAGAGCTCTTTTGGTATGGCATGTTTTTGGCATGGCTGGCGTATGACGAGGCTTTGATTGTGTACGCATAGGACAGAGAAGAACCAGGAGACAGATGGTCCAATGAATTTGATGAACATGTATTTCGGATTCTCCAAGTGACTTTCATTGCATTTCCTTTAACTTCGTTCCTCAATCCCGGCGAGTGTGCCCTCTCGCCAGTGTCACGTTGATTTAGAGGTCAGAGCACAATTTCGTCTTGGAATCTGCCATGTACAGCGAGATGTGCCTGCCCACACGTGGGAATACGCCACACTGCAAAGCAGCACGTCAGCTTGATCCTGGATATCTGTGCTGAAGAATAATTGTTACGCACCCGCCTCATGACCCGATCAACCCTCGGCTCATCGGCCTGGAAATCGCCATTCTACAAACACCTGTCATTACAGCTGAGTTGCAGCATCTCCATCTCCCGTCCGAAGACCCTCTCCACGGCTCGAGCGCGCCGTCTCTGAGTCGTGCTTTCGTCGATCTGGGGGATCTTGGCACCTCCGGTGATGTCCTCCAAATCCCAGACTTTGACCGAGAAGGACTCGGGTGCAGAATTGGAGCGGGTCTCGACGATCTTCTGTCCTTTGGCGCTCTCGGACTTGGCGCCTGCTTCGACGGCGTCAAAGATGGTGGAGATCTGTGGAGGTGGCGTTGTGGTCTGAGAGGAGATGGCGCACTTTGTTGTCGTGGAGGGCGACGAGTATGTTGAGTGGGAGGAGGACTGGGATGAGGATCTTGTCTGACATTTTGTCCGTGAAAATGTCAATGAGTATTGTGAGCGGCAAAGAAGGCTTTGCATATTGTATCGAGAGTTTGGTGCAGTGTTGGAGTTGTAGAGTCAGCCAGCCAAGCCGGAGTAGAGACACGCCGCCGTCATGGTGACGCACGGGCCACTCGAGTGAATGTTCGGCATTCACTAGCTCAAAGAAGAAGGAGATGGAAGCTCGGCAAGGTTGTTTGCCACCCCACCAAACCTTTCGCTCTCGTCTCCTTCTTTCTTCTTCTTCTTGCCCACAACACCAGGAAGTTCGCGCTCCTCTGCCAGCCCCAACTTCCAATCCATGGTGCGGTCTTCAACTTCCCGTCCATCGTCAGCAGAGATGGCATCCCCAGCTATCACGCCGCGAAACTCTCCCGACCAGATCGCAGATGCCAGAGCCCGAAATGAAGCTACGGAGAATGACGATGACGCCGTCTCCATCCAAGCCGACATGGAAAAAGCAATCGTCGCACTGAACTTCCACAAGATGCTGCGCTCGAACGGCCAAGCCTTTGTCGGCGGCTCCATCCTCAAGTCGAAGGTCACCATCCGCTTCACGCCCGTCATGAGCACGCAAATCCCCGGATGTATCCTGACGGTCGAGTCTGACGACGATGGCGGAGACCTTCCGTGGGGCATCAGCAAAGTCGACGTCTACGTCTTTGCCAATTGCTTGGCCCGACTACCGAGTCCAGATGGAACTCAAGTCTGTCTTGCCATGCAGACGAGCTTCGCAGGAGATCTGCCGCATCATCCTGCTATCAGCGCTGGCGGCGGAGAGACAGATGGGTTGTACCAAATCAGCCTCAGTCTCGTCTCACAGGACTCCATCAACACCGAATCCTAGCATGATGGCCCGCGGCCACGCCGACCTATGTTCTCGGGTATCGCAGAACACCAGCAACGAGAGCTGCAGCAGCGAGCCCATGGTCTCAAAGCCGGCGACGAGGGATTATCGCAATTCGAGTGGATTCTGGTCGCTCTGTTCACGGAGTCAGAAGTCGATATTCTACGGTATTGGCCGAGCAGCGCCGAGTGCAGCGCGGTCTTCCTGAGATTTGAGAGTGTTTGGGGTGCTGCCCTCAAAGACGCTGCTGTTATGGGCAATTTCCCATACTATCGACGCCGTGCGGCAAGTCAGGGGCTGAGCGTCACTTCTCCCATCTTCCGGCCTCAGTTGGCCGTTCCACCACCAAATCTCGTCACAGAGTGGCGGGTGACGTAAAGAGACGGAGAGAAAGCAGGTGTCGTTCCTGAGGAATGGGAAGAGTTGCCTCTTGACGGAATGCCCTACCCTGATGCAGAGACTGCTGAGTTGGCAGCGATCATTCGTCAAGAGCAGACGCGCAGCTTTGGCACAGCGGTCTGAACGGGAGCATGTTGTGGTTATCTTGTCGCGAAGTCGTATGTGACGTACAAGGACGGTTCGGTGGCAGATGTTGTCCCGGAGGAATGGGAGGAGTTGACTCTTGGGACTTTGGTCTGTGCCGATGAAGAGACTGCTGCGCTGGCGGCGAGAATCCGTCTCGAGCGTGGATCCAACTAGAACTCATTCGAGGCCTTATCAAGAGGCTAAGTAACTTGGCTTTCTTGGGGGAAGGGTTTCTCAGTCGAACCTGTAGTAAATGGACTGGAAATGACATACTCTTCATGGTTTGTGATTGTTCCACCTGTCTCGTCTTTTCCTCGCCTTCATCATCTTCATCATCTTCATCACACGAGACTTCTCCTGCATCTCCTCGCTCTCACTCGTTGCTAGATCAGAAAAAGGCTGAAACTCAAGTCAGCAGTAACCATGGCACGGGATCCATCCGGAGTGGAAAGCGAGCAGCTTCCAGAGTTTGAACTTGACTCATGGATGAGTGTCGGTCAAGATCCAAGAAAGTGTCATTAATGCCGAAGGACTTTCTCCACTGAAACCGAGAAGCCACATGTAAGTCATCGGGGCCGGCGCCGCAGTCTTGCAACCCGTTCCGGGCAAAGCATTTTGTGGCTGACCCATGCCCAGCACGATATCACCCATGAAGAAAAGTACATGCGAATGCGACGTCTGTGTCCAGACCTTCCACTCTTTAACCGGCGTTCCCCAACTAGAACTATGGGAAGGTTTTCCTGAACGCTCATTCCCCATCACAAGAGTCGGTTGTAATGTCTCATGTTGAGCTTGCGGCGCATGGAACGCTCTGAACTTCCGGGGATTCTTCGAAGTTTTCATCGCCAGCCAGAAAGGGCCGCACAAGGCCTGGGAGCGGCAAGACGATTGCATTCGCTGCTTGATTGAGATGCGTTCGAGGTCTTCAATGCAGACTGTCACGCTGCTGGACTGGCTATGGTATTGGAGCTGGAAAGGAGGCAGCGACGAGTCGATCCTCGTGCGTCCATTGGTCACTCAAGCGAGATCCCCCAATATTGGGTTCGGGCCGCTGCCGTATTCAGGGGCCCCTTGTCAGTGAATGCCGACCTCACCTTCCCAAACACGAGCTCTTTCCAATTGAAGACGAATACAACCCAGGGTGCCAACAAACACGTCAGCAAAGTATCAAACTATCACTAGGATGTGAACTTCAGCTACGCGACATCTGAAGCCTGCAGCCAGATAATTTCGAGAGCTATCGAGTGACTCTGGCACCTTCTATCGTAATTTTGGCAGGGACATCCGCCGTAATGGCTTCCTCATACACGCCGGAACCAGATCCACGGCCTAGTACACCATTCCATCCTCGTCCTCGTCCTCAAAGTGACCATCGCTCTGGTCATCCTCAGCGAATTCGCTGTCAACGTCTTCCATCTGCGAATCTCCATCCTCTTCCTCGTTTTCATCTTCGCCGATGAGCTCCTCCTTCCACTGCTGGCGAGTCTTCGAGGCATGGCGCTGTGCATGAGCACGGACGTCCTCAGCGAACTCGACTTGGTCATGGTGGTAGCCCAGAGTCGTGGTGACGTTGACCGGATCGGACGTCTCAGCCTGCAACAGAAGGCCGAAAACAGTGTCGAGAACCGTGGCCATCGACGTATCTGATGTCCAGTCCCGACCGGTGAGCAGGCTATGACACACACGGCCGTGGGCTGAGATATTCGGATGCATCATCTTGGTCACGAATCGCACCTCTGGTGGCTGGTATGGGTAGTCGTCGCCAGCAGACAGGTAGAGCATGAAGGTACCTGCGGCATAGGGGCTATCATCGGGGCCCTCCATTACCACTTTCCAGAAGGCAATGTCGCTCGTCGAGACGTAAATGTCGTACTTTGGGTGGGAGCCGGCTGTGGGAATCCGCTTCATTTCGCTCATGAGGCGAGGAATGCGCTTGTTGGATCGACGACCTGGCTGCGACGTGCTCCTCGAATTGCCAGAAGCCGCAGTGAGCTGGATGAACTCGTCCTGTAGGTTGGGATGCTGCTTGCTGGCTGGGTACACGTCTGGTGTGACAACAGTCGGCGAAGTGAGCCACCGAGAATAGGAGAACTGCGAGAGGAACTGCAGACGATTTCGGGGAAGAGACTGCGTTGCGGTAATCTCTGGACGATGAGTTATCGAAAGCAGAGGTTCAAGCTCACAAATAGCGAGAGCATTCGACACGGACGTAGGGTGGAAACGGTAGCATCCCAGAATCTGGGAAATGGTCTTCAGCTCCAAATTCGGTTCGTCACCGAGAGAGATGCTGTCAAGCATGACACCCTTCTGGAAAAGATCCCAGGCGACTTCTTGGCTGGTCGCCGTAGACTTGGTATCCATGCCGTCACTCAAAATAACAATGCGCTTCTTCGCGTTTGGGAACTTCTCTGCGTATTCGAGCAGCTGATCCTTGGCAAGCTGAAGACCATCCCAGAGCTTTGTATCGCCCCGGGCTTTCATGTTGTTGGTTGCACGGCGGAAGTTCTCCAGAGTCGACGATGGCGTCATGTGGACTCGGCAGTTGGATTCGAATGTCACGAGACCCACATGGGTCTTGAAAGAATATGCAATAAGGCGATTGATGAGGGCATCGAACATCTGCTTTAGCACATCAAGTCGGCTGAGTCGAGGGGTGTCTCGATCAGTATTTGGTCGCCAGTTCTGGATCATCACCTTGAAGACGAGAGGTTGGCCCGGTTGGCCCAGTTGACCCAGCTCCTCGCCCTCCTCAAGGTAGACTTTCTCATCGACGAGCTTGCCGAAGCAATGAAGGGGAGTCAAGTAACGTGAGAGCTGCTGTTGATTCGGGTCTTGGCACAGCGAGCCCGTCATGAAGCCGTCGCCTGTGAGGTTCAAGTCGCTCCAGATGACCTTCTCCTCGTGGGGAAGGGCGAAGTACTTGTGGAAATATGCGCGCCAGAACTTCCAAAGGATAGAATTCATCTTCTTGGTGGTGGTACGCGGGATCCAATAGCTGCAGAGTACACGGCCGAAATCGTACACCTTGACGAGAGCGTGCTCTTCCGAAGTGGAGGCTGATGAGGCACCGCTGCCCGCGACAGCCAAGGAATCATCGTCGGCAAGGCGCGCCAGAATCCCGTCCCCGTTCCGAAGGCCTTTGGTAGCAAGAGATGAGTTTGAAGGCCGAAGTGTCGTGGAGCCCTTGGCAAGTTCGAATACCAGGTGTCGGGCTTTGAGCCCACGGAAGACGAGCTGGTACAGCTGCAGCATCGTCAAAGAGGACCGAACCTTACGCTGAAATTGACCAACTCTGCTAGAGAACGTCAAGGTCATCGATGGAGACCCATCCGTAGCCACAAGCTCGCGACCTTCAATCCAGTGCGCAACAGCCTGCGAGATGCCTTCGTTCGATTCGAGTAATCTGCCATTGAGCTCCAGGCCGTGCATTGGAGAAGACAGGCGGATTGCAAACCACTGAGTAATGCCTTGGCGAGAGTAAGTGAATCCGTCGCTTGCCCTCACAGCAGATTCCATGAGAGCGTGAGAGACTGGGCACATCAGCTCATTGGGCACGTCTGTGATCTCCTCAGACAGTGACTGCAGGGTGCGGCGCTTGGAAGGTCCAGCTGTTGGGACATCATCTCCAGGAGTCCACATCCAGCTTGTGCTGACTTGGCGATCAGCGTTGGCTCGATACGTTAAGAAGTCGGTGAGAGGCTCCTCGTGCGTCTTCATTCCGGCCCAAAATGCCATGCGGTCGTTGAGCGTGGCCTGCAATGCATTCACGCGGTACAGTCCCCTCCCGGGCACGGTCCGCAGAGCTTGGAGATCCTTGTGCTTCTGCATGATCTCTCTACCAACCTGCACTTGCACGAGGCGAAGTACGTCCTTGGCAACATGACGCCCACGACCAGCACGGGCTTCGCCGACGATGGCCGTCATGTCGTCGAAAGATTCGTGCTTGGAGAGCTGCTCTTTGAGATCATCGAATCCAGTACGAGTGTAAAATTCTGGGTCGATTACGCTCTCTGGTGTTGGTTCTGAAACTTGATTTATCTCGACCTCTTGGTCCTGCAACTCCAGAAAGTCGGTGCGTTCGCGCATGGAACTGCTGCAGTCGACGGCGACCATCACAATCTCGTCTGGGTTGGAAGCTCGCTTGACCAGTGATCCACCATGGACGTCGAAGACGGCTGTGCCTAAGGAGAATTGTTAGGCCAAGTCATCAGACACCGATTGATACATTCGCACTTACCGTCGGACTCATATCCAGCAATGATGGGCTCAATAATCTGCTCGAGTGTGCTCTCGTTGACAGTCTCTCTACCGTGCTTGGGCCGAAAGATTTCCGTCGATTCTCCTGGGCCAGAACATGGTAACAGGCCCACGTACACAGCCAAGTGGCCCTTCCTACCGAGAGCGGTCAGACACGGAGAGACGGTTGCCGCCAATTGCGAAGGCTTGTAGGCGCCGAGCTTGTAGCGACCAGCCAGATCGGCGAGGTGGTGAAGCTCAGTCAGCTCACTTCTATCCAGCACAACGTCTGCGTCTCCGCCATCAGAGTAGATGGCTTGATACTTGCTCATCAATTGTGCAGTGGAGAAGATCGTCACTTCCCCAATGACACCTGCGGACAATAGGGCAACCCGCTTTGTTGTCTCGTCGGTGTCCGCTTCGACCACAATGCCCAGATGCGAACCGCTGAGGACCCCATCATCAGACAAAGCGTCCATCAGGTCCCTCTCCATCAGACCAGCTTGTGTGTTGACGGCGTGCATCACAGGCTCCGCCGTCTTGTGATCGCGCAAGTCAATCGTGTTGAAGGAGGATATGTATGGCAGATTGGCATCATCTGTGACCTCAGGAAGTCTCGTGGAATGCGCCTGGTCGAAGAGGAAGCCAAAAAGGTCTCGAGTGCCTTCAAAAGCTCTGGATGTTCCTTGTCCGATGATCTCAGCTGGCATGAATGAGGCAAGGACCTCGTAGAGGGCATGTGAAATTGCAGCACTCTCCATGGCGGTTGGTGTCTTTCCCTCAATGAGGACTTGGACCGCACGAAGAGCTGGCGGAAAGTGCGTCATGAGATGGAAGACACGGTAGAAGGCCTCTTGTCCTTGCTCGTCCATCTCTTGTACCTTCTTGGTTGCCACGTACATGGTCGAGAGGAAGACTGCCATTCCGCGATCTGACTGTATGACTTTTGGCTCCCAGTGTCGTCGGTAGCGGTAAGTGTGGCCTCCGTTGTAGCCGGAGATGGTTGATTCGGCGATTCCGCGATTGACAGCATAGATGCTGACGGTACCGTCGTCCTCTGCGAGAGACTGCAAACCAGCGTCAGCCAATGTGGCATCGAAGCTTGCACGGCTAATTGGAAGCTCGGAAGTGTGCAGATCAAGCGTGCGGCGGAGGGTGGAGTCCTCGTCCTCGTAGTTTATCTTTGCCTGGGTTGGCGTGTGACGATGCCTCGAGCAGACGGCGACGACTGGTGGCTTCTTGTCTGTCAGGGAAAGAGTCAAAGGTCAGTAAATGGCTCCGACATGGCATAAATCATGTTGTTTCATGTTGAAGGCTTACAGGTCGACACATTAGATGCGCGCTGGGCCGCATGCAATTCGGCGCCGTAGAGGTTTATCTTCTTGTTGGCTGTCACATCGTTGCCGAAAGTCGCACCAAGGATCTCGTTGAGTACAGTCTCCGTCGCGGCCTCTGGGATGTCCAGGCGCTGAACGATGCTCTTGCCATGGACGACAGTGACTTTGGTGGGAGGAGAGGCGCCATCGGCAAGCTGCTTTGCCAGAGTGCAGTTGCATTCATTCTCGAGATGCGGCTTGTCGAAGGTGCCTGGAAGGCCAAGGTGACCTGAAACTTGCTGATGAAGCTCTCTGATAGTGCAAGACGGCTGGATGTGGATTGGTCGGACATCTTCCCGCTTGTAGGCCAGTTCTGGTGTGATGACGCGAATAGCAAGACCTTGTTGGGGTGTAGAGCTAGTCTACAAGATACATCAGTGCCTGTCGTTGCCGTTGTGAAGTGGAGACTTACCTGCTTGACATTTCCCTCCTTGAACGTGGCAAAGAGCTTGTCTTTCTCCGAGTCGACAACAGCATCAAGCATGTCATCAGCGTCAATGATGGCGCCGTCCTCGCTGTCCAAATGGAGAGTGACAATGTGGGTGTTGGGCTCTACCTTGACCCCGAGCTTGACAATTCGCTTCCAGAGTTCGGTGATGAAGGCAGAAACAGTCGCAGAGGGTTGGAAAGGCACGGCGAGTACAGGCCGAGTTGGACCTGGTGCCACGACGGTGACATTATACCTCGTGGGCATCGTATCGTCGTCGCTGTTGGCGTTGATGGAGCGGAGAAAGGTGCGGTGCGGAAGTCAAGATCAAAGTGTGGGTGGTTCCATGTTTGACAAACGGACGGGAGGCCGCTGGAGGGGCAAGGCTAGCTTTGCAGGGGTGTCTGGATGGCTTGTTGCCTGCGCCAAGACGCCAAACCCCGCTTTCACATGAAAGCAATTGAGATTGGAAAGAGCGAGACACGCATATTCATTAGGACGGGCTATGGGAAATTCTCGTAGATTCCCTCATCCAGAGAAGCCAGAACCAATGCACAGCAGTGGGTACGTGCCCCTTTCGAGCTCAGCAGAGCTAACATGCGTTCTGTAGGAGATAGACAGCAGTATCGTGGGAATTGACAGTCGTGTCGAAGGGACCTTGCTTGCAGCCCAAATCCTCGCCAGTCCATGCGTTGAGCACCGAGTAGGAACCAGAGGTCAGCCCTGGAATCTCAGTGTAGTCGAGAGTCATTGTTCGGCTTGCGTTGAGTGAGTTGAAGAGGGCGACCATGGTACCCTTGGATGACGGGCCCGACCAGAATTCGGCTGGGTTTGTTGAGTTGTATGTCCAGTCTGGGTTTATTCCCTGGATAACAGTTGTCAGTCTGACAGTGGCCGTCGAGATGAATGGAGCTCACCCATTTGTAAGGCACAGCCGGCTTGCCATAAACCGAATCTTGGTTGAACGCAATCAAATGCTGGTTCTGCAAGATGTCGATGTTGTCTTGACTCAGTTGCGTGATGTCCGTGCCAATGAGAAGCGGTGCTTTCATCAGAGCCCAGAGCGAAAAGTGAGTGCGAGTCTCTTCAGGCGTCAAATCTCCATTGCCCACTTCGAGCATATCTGAGCCACAGCGTCAGTCTGAGGCCAACATTGGTCTTGGTAGGCCGCGTTTCTTCCTTACCAGGATCATTGTGCCCAAAGAAGTCCGTAAAGTCACCGAGGAACGAGTTCATATTGAGAATGCGGGTAACATCGCCCCAGGTGGCTGCATCGAAGTCAGTAAGGTTGTGCGGGACCGGAAACCAATATGTGTCGTACGTTGGATATCGTTACTCATTCTCCACGAATTGCCAGTGTTATTCGCCCACGTATAAACCTCATCGGTACCCCAATTGCAGAGACTGAAAAGAATTGTCCTGTTCTGGGCGGCAAGTGCATCTCCCATAGCCCGGTATCTTTCCGAACTATTCGACTGAGAGTAGTCTCTTCCATCGACGGGCCAAACAGGGAGGCAAATGGGCATCATATTTGAGGCTCCAGTTTGGACAGTGGTGTAGAGACATGTCCCGTTCACCAGGTCTGGAAGCAACAAACTGAAGGTCAGCAAACATTCCAGCTATGGAAATGCTTTCTACCGATGAAAACACGTACTAGTTGCATAGGTTGGATCGGCATTGCAGCTGTAACAAGATTCATCGTAAATGGAAGGGACTCCGCAGCTATCCTAAGAGTCAGTGAATGTGGCGGCTTGATGCTCTACCCTTGCGGTGAACAGGCTCCAAGTTTGGAACTCTCAACACAGATTATGAGACACTACGCCCACCAGCGACGCTCGCAGCCTTTGGTAAGCCTCTTTGGACTGAGTAAAGGTGGTCTACTGGGAGCAGAAGCAAAGGGGTGTTTTGAAACGTACTTGTCATACTTGAGGTAGTCAATACCCCATTCCGCAAACGTAGCAGCGTCAATCGTCTCATAGCCCAAGCTGGCAGGATATCCACCACAAGTGGTCTCGCCAGCGCTGCTGTAGATGCCAGTCTTGAGGCCGAGATTGTGAACTTTGTCAGCCCAACCACTGATGCCATCGGGGAATTTGCTCGTGTTCGGCTGAAGACGGTTCGTGTTAGGATCTCGACCGCTCTGAATAGACCAGCAGTCGTCCAGGATGACATAGTCGTAGCCAGCTGCTTGGAAGCCCTTTTGGACGATGTCGTTGGCGGCGGCCATCATCTTGTCCTCTGTGATGTCGCAGTGGTACGCGTTCCAGCTGTTCCAGCCCATGGCAGGCAGTCTTCCGGTACCGTCATCGTGGGTAAGTGCCCATATGGCTGGCAGAGTTGACAGAGCAAGGATGCTTAGTCGAGCCATGGCAGCGGTACTTAGCAGAAAGACAAGATAGCCAAGCTCAGCACCGTCGTCCAGAGGCGGAGATGTATATCCATCCTGTCAAAGTAACTATGCTTGCCTCGGGAAGCGTTGACGTCTCCATAGGCGTCGACCATTGCAGTTGCGGATGGCAAGCTCCAGTCATTGGGTAATGGAGGCTCCTCCATCGGGGCTGAAGACGTATAGTTCAGATCGGGTCCGAGTCGCGGAAGAGATCGTCAAGAGGCGATGTAACATACAAGCACTGCTGCTGGATTGTCGGGTTGTGGGTGGATACGAGCCTTATTAATCAGTATGCATGTACTTCCACGTGCCTGCCTTGGGTGAGTTCATGGCAATGGCAATGGACTTTCCTTCCTTCTTCCCCACCTTCCCCGCGACCTCTCCACATACGTAATTTCTCAGAGTCAGCCTTCATGTTGTGTGCTGCACATGGAGAGAGCATGTGTATATGATTTGATTTGATTTTCAACCAACCCCCTCTTGCATTGATATGGACCAACCTGCTTTTCAATTGCACAAAGCCTTCATTGCCATCTATTGCCAGCTCGACTCACACACTCCTTGCTTCTCTCCCGCTGAAGGCAGATCATGCATTCAACTCCAGATATACAGACGATGCCATGCTCTCGTCCAAAGCCCGAAGGACTCGCGAGAGGAGTCCTTCCTCCGACAGTCAGCACATTCTGCATTTTCGAGGTGTCAATGACCAGAAGAAATACACCGCAATGTGAACTGTAGTCGCTCCTAGCCATGGCGGTTCCACAACCACCTCTTCAACTTTCCCAGCACGCCCTCGTCCTCAGCCTCCGCTCCATACCTGCTCCACGCATGCTGGAACAGAGCCGACAGCTTCTTGAAGTAGTTCCCACAGTTTGGGCACTTCCGCGGCTGCCCCTCATGATTCCAGTTCCTGCCATACTCAGCATCCATACGCAGGATTTCAACTCGATAATCAGGATCCATGATATGCTTCCACTGGTAGACCATGGCTGCAGATTTGTTCAGGTCCTCGGCATCGATGCCGCCGCAGCCATACTCGAGATGACAGATCATGTCAGAGTACTTGCGGTAGCGGTTGGTGCACTTGAAGCATTCGTACGCGGCTGGAAGGTGGACTTGTCGGTGCTGGACCATTTTAGTAGACGTTACAAGGAGTAGACCTTGAGAGCCCTCGACTTACCATGCGCCATTCGTTCTCGTCCGCGAACCAACGGCCGCAGTCATGGCAGCGGCAACTAGAACGGAGTCAGACCACCATTCCCACCCGTGACCGAGACCTTAAAATCCTACCTCATCGTCCTCGAACTTCAGCTCCTGGTTCGACACAACTCTGCAGAGCAAGGTGAGTTCGAAGGCAGAGAAGATCCACTCGAGAGAAGCGGTACAGTCGACTCGTTTGCAGAACAATCTCCTACTCCGACACTCGTCTCCTGCTCGTTTGCAAAGTCATCATCACTGTCGGCTCGAACCTACAGTGATTGCTCGACTGCGGATACTTGCAGAGCCGCGCATGACAACTTCACCGAGACCATGGCGACGGACAACCTGGCGTCAGATGGATCGCTCGCGCCCGTAGACGAGTATATTGGCCCTATATTTTCTCGTTATCTAGATGACACTGAGCCGTGAGACTCGATGGAATTCACTGATGCCCAGTTCTTGAAAAGAGTAGGCGGCACAGCCCTTTTCAGACCTCCAGCAGTGCGGCCGAAGTCTCTCCAAACGCGTCCTCGCGTCTTCCACCCCTCCCAGCCGTACGTGCTCGATGTCCTCGCACTCCAGAAAAGAAAGCCCGAACGCCGAAGAAAGAGAACAGAGAGGCAGTCGAGACCGCCAACGGTCGTGGTTGACGTTGCTGGCTCTTGCGTCCCTGCCAAGGAGATCTTCGGCGGAACAAATTTAAGGTTCCGCCGCCAATCTCTCGGGAATCTGTGCAGATCATCTGGGCATTCTTTAACGGTCGAGATAAGGAAGGGAAGGAGCAAAAGAATTATTCCGTTGTCTGGGGGAGCAGATGGAGATGACTGGGGAAGAGGTGGGATGGGTTGAGGATGAGGTCGAGTTGGCGTGTGCTTGAGAGCAACATTGCATTTGGTCATGTCATAGTCTAGAGTACAGTACAACTCGAAATGCCACCACGGCACTGACGCAAAGATCATTTCCACCATTCAGCCATTAGCGCCGCAATTACTTGAAGCCATCCCGTGGAGATGATGAAATTCGTGTCTCGTTGCTCGGTGATGCAGGTTGTGAGGACCGGCACCATGTCGTCGATTGCTGCGACTGCTCGGTGAGCGAAGTGAGGCGAGCTGAATTCTTGGCCGCGCTCGATGATTGCAGCTTTTTGATGCTGTTTCGATGATCGGAAGGCTTGCATTCGATTTGGCGGTGTTGGTGAGAGTAGAGTCGGTGTCTCAGTCCCTTCAGTTGGAGAGGAAAGCAGCTCCCAAACCACCGAGGCGACCAATTGCCATCTCGCGGCGCTCGACGCTTGGGACGGTCAGGAACGCTGGGGGCCTGGTAGACACCGAGTTGGAAGAGCTGGACGAGACCGACGATTGACGAGATACTGCTGAAGTGTTGCTAAGGTATCTCTCAGTTGTTGGGCGTGGCAGAGAGTCGGTGAGCGACAGCGAAGTCAAGTCCACTGGGCTGGCGCTTTCGCCCTTGAGTGCTGGGGATGGCAGTGGCGACGATTGAGGTGTGAGCTGCAAGAACTTCGCCGTGTTGGAGCCTGGAGAGGCATCGGGCGAGAGCTGCAACCAAGTGCCTGGGATCATGTTGCTTGGTCTGTCGATGCGTTCGATGGTGTGTTGTTGAGATGGTCGCTGTGGTTTAGGAGCCCAAAGCTGAGAGGTAGACATCTTTATATGGGGTGATTGATGGGTGACCTTGGTGGAGACCGAAGTGGGTGCGATGAGCTGTTATAGCGTGGTGGGTGGGATTTGTAAACTGCGGTGTAATGCTTGGAAATGGAGCTCTGGATGACTGCGGAACAGGGAGATATGACCTGCCTTTTAATACTGCGCCCGAGCTATGGGTGCACCAAGTATCACATCATCCCGCACCTCCTTGACAAGGCACATGAAAGTGGGATGAGTATACCGCCAAGATCCGTTTCACTTCTCTTTGATTAGTGCCGAGCATGTGACCATGATAGCACCAGCCTGCAAGCTTGTGGGATGCTGGCCCGGGGAAGTCCACCGTTGCCCAGAAACTTGCCCAGAAGCGATTAAGAAAACGCCCAGAGAACATAAAAGCGGATCCGGAAGACGCCGATGATGAGGCGCGCACTCAATCTTTACCAAGAGTTTCTGCCAAGGCGGCAATGTAAATCTCACTCCTTCAGTGTTCTTGTTTCTCGCTGCTTCGGCGTTTAAGCAGCCGTGGGGGCTGCTCTTTGGGGTGGGAAAAGCCAGCGGGACGCAGACATGCGACGGGGAGCGTCTCACTTCCAAGCCCGGGCGGACTCTTGGCGGACGCGCATGCAACTTCTTCTTGGTGTTTCTGTACAATCTCTCTCCATCGGCCATCGTGGGGAAACCAGTGATTCGATTGGTCGAGTTCCTCTCGCTCGAAAAAGTGCACCCCAGGTTTTTGAGACGTGAGAGTAGTAGGAGGTAGCACAACGAAGCTCCCCCCGCCATGCCCACGTCCTGCAACAAGCTGCATCGTCACATCCTCGCAAGATGCTGCAGTGCGCTGGCAGAGAGGTGTGCGGCGATCCATGATCGTCGTTGTGCAGCCGGGTTCCAGATACTCCGCCGCCGTCTTGGCCATCCAGGCAGATAAGTATACAGTTTGGCCGGCCAGCCAAGCCATGATGGATCCATTTTGATGTCAGCCCAGACAAACTGTCGCACGACGACTATGGCACACGTCCTGCAAAGCCTCTGGAACACGCGACCGTGGATGTCTTCGAAGTCCCAGCATGGGTAGGTATGTAGGATCGCGTGCATCGAAAATTCCTTCGTTCGAAGCTATCCCACGCTCATGCGACCGTACGACTCGGTCGCTGGATATTCCCAAAATGTCCCCCAACGTCTCGCTAATCGCTGCAAGCTCATGATCATGCCATGTCCAGCTGATCCGTCTGTCGTTCGTAATCACTTCTCCGGGGCATCAGGTAGTCGCTCGACGACAAATTTGCCGCGGGCTACGCTCAAGATAGGCACTCCAGGAATTTTCCTCACTCTTCTCTTCAAGTCCCTGTCGTTCGTAGCCACCAGATAGACCCTCTGTTTCATGACACGATCCACGATACTAATTTGTAGTTAGTAACTTTCTTCTTCTTCTTCTTAAATACTAGCTTTACCAGTCGTCTGCGTAGGTGCCCTTGTGGTCACACTGAAGTCTCTCGAAGCGTTCGTCTCGCGCAATCTGTAGAGCAATGCGGTACTTGGGTCCCAGCTTCTCCAACTCCGCCATGACGCAGCTCGTGATGATCGGGGTACATGTCGCGTAGAGGGTGTCCATGAGCGTGGGTAGGAGCGGTAATTTGTGGTGGACGGTGTGGGAGAGGAAGTTGGTGTCGATGAGGATCTGGTAGGGCGGTTGGAGGGCGGTGTTGTGCTGGAAGAACATGCTGCTGGGCACTTGCGGGCTGTCGAGGGTGTCAGTCTACCATTTTAGCGAGTCTCATAGTCAAAGAAAACTCACATCTCCCTCTTCACCTCATCGCCCTTGGCCTTCTTCTTGTCCTCGGCTTCATTCTTGACAATGTTCTTCTTGAGCCGCGCATCACGCTGTCCGATGACGCGCTTGACGGCGGCGAACTTGCGCGTCTTCTTCTGGACACCCATCTTTCGAGAGAGCGATGTGCGAGGAGAAGAGATGAAGTCGTCTTTAACATGGAAGAGGACCCGTCTTCGTCCGCCTCTAATTATCGTGCCAAGTTTTCGAAGTCTCAGAATTCAGATCAGTTCCGAAAAATCGAGCACGCTAAGCGGTGTTGGAGAGGAGGAGCTGGAGTTGAGATACGCTAGCTTCGGTCACTCCCATGTCGCTCTTTCGCGTGGGAATGGGACGCAACTTCCTCTCAGGCATCGACTATGTTCTTTCTCGCAGACATGACTTGCTTCTCGCAATCACTTTGTGGTCGGGTAAGAACGACCGAGATGGACCAAATGTTGCCCACCACCAGAAGTCGAAGCGTTTCAGTTCGTAGCTGCGACCACGGTCCCAAAAGTCTCCCGGACATATTCACATGCACTCTTGAAGCACGTTCTTACTCAACAGTGAATTTTTCATACACTAGCATTACCGCTATCTGACCCTGCTGTCGACTTTCCACACTAACAATGAACCATCTCATGCCGTCTTGGCTCCTGTGAAGCGCCGCTCGTAAAGTCTTGAACTCGAAACCCGTTCCCAAATATCAGACAATGAGAACGTAAGATCGCTAAATGCAAAACTGTCATCAGGTCTGACACACTTCCCCTCACCACTCATCCATCATTAGAATCTTTCTCGCGGCCCACTGCCATGGTTCTCCAACAGGTCGGAGAAGACTGCACTGGGTGCTCTTTGACCTCCAAGGTGTTCGCTGCTACCAGTATAACCACCGCCCGTGCCCACGGCCAACGATGAAGTGCTGGGATGCATGTAGACGTTGCTGTTGCGCTGTACGCCGTAGCCGTCCCGACTTGAGGCTCGTAGGTTTTCCCGCGATTGCGAGCGCAGTCCGTCTCTTGATGAGTAGTTCCCGCCACCGTAGTAGTTGGCTGTACTGCGGGAATTGGGCAAGCTGGGCGAGCCAGGAGGCGAGGGGGAAGGGTTTATGGCGCTGTGTCTGGCATAAGGAGCCAGCGATCCACCGATGGTTGTGGAATTCCTGCCACCAGCAGGCTCAGCAGCGGATGGCGAGGCATAGTATCCCGCAGGTAGATATCCCGAAGCGCGGCTGTCCAGTCCACCAACAGAGCTGGCGCGATTTGACACTTGAGCTGTTGGCGAGAAGAACAGACCGGCCGGCGGCACAGCAGACTGCCTCTTTTCGTCGTGAATATGCGAAGATCTGATGTTCTTGCCAGCGCTTGTCAAAGCGTCCAGAGACATGCTACTACCAGTCTCGTATTCCCTGTAGTATGCACTCTTGTGACCGCCGCCGCCCCATGCTGACGAGCCCTTGTCCGAGCCACGGAGAGAGGCGAGAGCGGCGCGCTTGACCGAACGATTGATACTCCAAGCGACCAGTCCACGCCAGAGGAGCACGCATGCGCCGAGGAATGCGAGAACAGCGCCAACAGCAATGAAGACTGTTCCCTCGGGCATCGTGGACTTCTGCATGAACGGGGCGTTGGCGGTGTAGGGGACGATCATGGTGGGGATACCAGCACCCTGAATAGTTGGCAGTCCGGTGAGTGAGAAGGGTGTGTTTGAGCCTGAGCTGGTACTGGTCGCATCTGGGAATGTAGCAGTGGTAGTCGCGGCAGAGTCGGTCGTCGATTCAGCGGAAGAGGTTGCGCCTGTGGTACTCTCAGCAGTGGTGGTGCCGCCTGAGGTAGACTCTGCGCTCGTGCTGTCGCCGGTTGTAGTAGCATCTGTAGTCGCTCCAGTAGTGCTCTCAGCAGTGCTCTCGGCGGTAGTGGAGGCGTCATCGGTGGTCGCAGTCGCTTGTGTAGCCGTGCTGAGATCGGGCAAGTCATTCTGCGCATGAACTGCTGTCGCCGCCAGCAGCGCCAGCAGTGCGAATGCGCGAACTAGTCGTATGCTGCGCGCCATGACTGTGTCACAGTAGAGGCTCGAACGAGGGTGATGGCCAGATTATAGGTATGCAATGCGGTAGGTGGCTGCTATGCCAACAGCGCCTTCAAGGATGCCTTTCTTTGATCGCCTCAGCCTTGTTTCCTTGCTCCTTAATATGTTGATTGTGCCCCTTTCCGCGGTCGCGCCGGGGCTGCCGGCTCGTCTGGCGTGGTATGAATTAACGTGGTGTATGCGGCGCTGCTCGAGCAAAGGACTGTATTTTAGCGAATGTATGAATGGTGACGCAAGATGAGTCGGTACAGGCGTTGTGCTGCTGTGAGATACAGACGGGCAGGGTCTTGGCAGGCCAGGTCTATTTTGGGAGACGTTGGCAGCGCGACAATGCGGGAGGATCTCCGCCACTCTATCTCTTCAACGTGGCGAAGCAGGAACGAATATCACACCACACCTCCATTGACCTCGGCGAATATAAGACGTACACGCATTGCGACTTAATGTCCTGCGCTCACAATAAGACTGCAAGAACAAGAGCTCCATGATCAGATCGTCACCCCGCAAACCTGTCACAACATTCGATATCAATACTTGACCAGCTCAGCTTGTGTTCACTCGCAAGTTTGCTGTCACTTTCGAAAGCGATGTAATTCGACCCAGCATAGCGTCACTGGAACACAACCATGAACCGCCATCCGTCTGATCAGTATCACCAAGAGCACATGTGTTGGCCGTGCTCCCCCGGGGCCGCTTGGCGTACGGGACGCCCTATCTTCAGACTTATCGTAGCCGCTATCAGGTGGACCACTATGTTCGCCTCCTCATTGCAGTGACTGTGATGCAGCAGAACCTTTGGTTGGTGTCTCGAAATGCTGTTTGGCACTGATAGGCAGGGAGTGTTTTCGTTCTTGTGAAGCCCGTTGCTTTGATCTCTTCAATCCTCCAAGCTGTTGACTACACCCATCTTCCTCTTCAGCTACGATTCATCATGGAAGACGAGAAGCAGCTGCCACCAGGCACCGTGCGCTTGATCGATGTCGACGGCAATGTGTTGGCCAAACACGCCCGAGGTTCGCAGCAAGACGTTGTGTTACACCCTCGCCCATCTGAAGATCCGGAAGATCCTCTGTCAGTCGATACACCAACACTTTGACGAACTCCTGCTGATTACATGAACAGCAACTGGACCTACAAACGAAAGATGATCGCGACTTCATGTGTGTTGATGTACACCCTCATGATCGCCATCCCATCTGGAAGCGTCTACTCAGTCGTCAAACCGATCGAGAAGGCAACAGGCTTGGAACTCAACGATCTCAACACAGGGACCGGCGTGATGTTTCTCGCCTATGGATGGGCATGCATACCGTGGCAAGCGATCGCTCTACAATGGGGTAAAAGACCTGCGTATCTCGTTTCTATGGCTGCCTCCATCGCCATTATGGGCACAGCACCACTTTGTACCAAACGCAGCACATACCTGCTCAACAAGGTCTTGCAGGGATGCTTTGGCGCTCCCGTCGAGGCGCTGTGTGAGATTTCGATCACTGATATATGGTTCGCGCACGAAAGGCCGAAGTATCTTGCTTGGTATGGACTGGGCCTTTCCATAACTGGGAAGCTCGCCCCGATGCTTGCGGGGTTCATCAATGATGGCCAAGACTGGCGATGGGTATTATGGTGGACTGCAATCTGGATCGGCATCGCCTTCGTCTACTGTTTCTTCCTGATGGAGGGTCTGTCATTCCAGCGTCGCATCGCCTGAGCAGATATACTGACCAGAAACACAGAAACCAACTACGACCGCGTGACGTCCCCCAGACCAACCCAACCACCCTCCGGCATATCAACCCCCTCCGAACCCCCAGCCGACGCCCTCCCAGGCGAAAAATCCATCAAACAAACCACCACCGCAACCACCACCGACCTCGAAACCGGCCAAACCACCTACCCCTGTAAAACCTACCTCCAAAAACTCTCCTTGACCGGCGACAAATGCCGCCCCAACCGCCTCCTCGAAATCTCCCTCGCCCCCTTCAAAGGCTTCACATACCCCGTCGTCGTCTACGCCGGCTTCATGTACGGCGGCAACGCACTAGTCTGGTCCGGCGTCGTCAACGCCGTGTCAGGCACAGCGTACTCTGAGTTCTACGGCTTCTCCACGACTGCCATTGCCGCGGCTTACTCTGGAGGTGTCCTCGGCGCCATCATCGGGTCGTATTACTGCGGGAAGGCTGGGCGGGAGCTCACGATAAGGCTTGCGAGACGGAATGGAGGCATCTCGGAGCCGGAACATACGTTGTATATGTTTATTGCGTCTATGATTCTGGTGCCTTTTAGCATTCTGCTGTATGGGCTGGGCGTGACGTATCGGGTGCATTGGTTTGCTCTGGTGTTTGCCCAGTCGACGCTGGCTATCTCCAATTCGCTGTGTGTGGCTGGGGCTTTGGGATACGCCATTTCGTCTTACCATGCGCTGAGTGGGGAGTTGGTCACGACTTGTATCTTGATCAGGAATACTCTGAGCTTTGCGGTCAATTATGGGTAATTCATACTGCTCCTTCCCTCTTAGCATACTTTGAAGTGAATCTTGCTGACATTTCATCAGTATCACTCCCTGGCTCAACGCCCTAGGCTACAGAGACACCTTCATCATGGTCGCCGTCATCGGTTTCGTGTGGAACGCTTCGCTGTTCGTCATGGTGCGGATTGGGCCTTCGTTGAGGAAGAGCAGTGCAGCGAGGTATTGGAGGGATGTGGAGAAGGCAAGAGCAAAGGGATTGAGTCATTGAGACGGCAAGTATGAAGCACTCCCAGGTTTCTACTGAGAAAACAGCAAGCGCTGTGATAGAAGTATACACATGGACTAGAGGGTATCGAGCAAAAGCTAACAGAATCAAAAGCATCAATTCAAAGCTGCTCAATCGCAGCCACCAAATGCTGCAGGCTAACCTCATCGCCGCCTGCGAGGAGCTTGCCCATGGCTTTCGAGAGGTAGTTCATACGCCGCTTCGCCTCCTCTTCTTCCATGGCTTTGCTGCGCCTCCCGGCTTCCTCGAGGAGTGTCTTTGGCAGACCAGCCAATCGAGCCACGTTGAGACCGTAGCTTCGATGCGCAACACCTTCGCCAATCTCGTACAAGAATGTGACGTCTTTCTCGCCCGCCGCAGTCTCGCTATCTCGTTCGTTGAAGCGCATGTGCACGTTCTTGAGCTCGCCAGCAGGGAATTGCTCCGTTATACGGGCCAGACCCTGATAGTGGGTGATGAACAAGGTCAAACTCTTCAGCTGGCTGACGACGTGCTGCAGCACAGCCTGTGCGATGGCGACGCCATCGTGAGTACTCGTACCACGACCCAGCTCGTCGAGAATCACCAGACTTCGAGGTGTAGCCTGCTTGAGAATGTCGCTTGTCTCACCCAGCTCAACCATAAATGTGCTCTCGCCTTTGAGCATGTTGTCAAAGGCGCCCATGCGAGTGAAGACTGCATCGAGCAAGCCAAGTCGCACCTCCTCGGCAGGAACGTAAGAGCCAATCTGAGCCATGATGGCGATGAGGGCGACGGAGCGTACGTAGGAAGACTTGCCGCCCATATTGGGGCCTGTGATGAGAAGTGCGCGAGTCTGATCGGATGAGAGTTTGACATCGTTGGGCACAAAAGAGTCGAGCAGAAGTTGCTCCACCATTGGGTGGCGACCGGCGGTGATCGAAATGCCAGGCTCATCACTGAAGGAAGGCTTGCAATATCCGGGCTGCTGAGCGACTTCTGCGAGTGACAAGAGACAGTCCAGCAATGCCAATGACTGCACGCAGTCTCGAAATGCTTGGTACTTGGACCCAATCTCTGTCAGTAGATCGATGAACGCCGCGTCGCAAGCATTCGACAGCGCTTCCTTGTGCTGGTCCCGTTCACGAATCAGCTTCACAACCTCTGGTGCGTGGTACCGCGAGACTTTCTTTGTGCCACTGATCTTGACCCACGAAGCCGGAACATCCTTCAGCTGCGTGTTCTCAAGCTCGATGAGGTAGTCGATCTCCGCAGAAGTCACATAATTGACAGACTTTCGCTTCAAGATGTCCTTAGCGGTTGTCTTGAACTCGTTAAGATCATGTTCGACCGCCACGATGCCAACCTTGTGATCGGTCATGTCTTCAGTCTCGAATTCGTCACGGAAGAAGTTGTACTTGTCGTCGTTCCTCGCGGCCTCTGCGTTGATTCGATTGAGATAGTCGAGGACATCATCAGATATGATCGGTAGTGATGCTATAGCTTCCTTGAGCATGTTCGCGTCGAAGCCTGCGTCAGAGACAGAGGTGACATGGGCGTAGTCTTGTGCGATCATTTGCAGAGTTTGCAGCAACGATAGAAGCTCTGATCGACTACACTTCTTGTAGTATATGCGGATGAGTGTCTTTTCGAGGTCGCTTCGAATCTTGCTTAGCAGAAGCCTGAGCCTCTCCACACCCGAAGAACTGTAACCCTCCTTGAGTTCTTCGATAGCATCGACACGCTCAGTCAATTGCACACGATCCAGCAGGGGTCTGCCCACCCACTTGCGGAGCAGTCGTGAACCAAACCTCGTCTTGGTATGATTCAGCGTCCAGAAGAGGCTTCCGCGTTGGGTTTGGTCAGTCTGATTACGATATATCTCCAAACTTTCCAGAGTGTTTCCGTTCAGTAGCATGTGAGATCTGGCACTGAACGATTGGAAGTATTTCGTCAAGTCAAAGACGTGCTGGAGACCGTAATCTGTCAAGTGGTTGATCATAGCAGACAAGCAAATCGTTGCATTCTCAGAAAGCTTGTGCACTTTGTCCAGAAGCGTCCCGGTCTCTTGTGAGGATTCCACTTGGGAAGAGGATGGCTCCCCTTCTTTCAGCTTATCGGCGTAGAACTTGGTGATGTGACTGTATGCCTCCGCTGCCATCGTCTTTGGCTTGTCCACACGTTCCACTCGAGCATCATCCCCGCCAGAGAGGTGCTGTACAAGCTTCTCTGTCGCCTTGGACATCTCTCCAACCAGAAGAAACTCGCAAGGCGAGATGTGGAGCAATCGAGTCTCCAGTTCGGACCGCATCCACCCATCTTCAAAGTCATCGTAGATGATATCCCCCGTGGATGGCTGCACAGCAACGAGCCCGATTTGCACCTTCTCATCCGACCCGAATCCTTTGGTATAAGTCTCGGTCAAGCACAATAGGTGTCCGGTCGCAGGAGCACCACCACTAGGCCCTGCCAAGTCGAGGCCTTCCTGGTCGTCAATGTATGTACCTTTGGTGTAGAGATTCGTCAGTCCGCGTTGAAACAGCGTGCCACGGTTACTTCCAGCTGCTTTCAAAGCGGCTGTCTCCAACTGTCTGACAATGCCAACTTTATGCCCAGCAGAAACCAGTCGCTTCACATGGACGTGCAAGCGATGGGTCGGAAAGCTGGCGGAAGCGAACTTGTCCAGGTGTGCCTCAGATGGGTGCTCGTCGAATCTGAACTTTCCGGGAATGCACACAATGGCGAGCACCTTTGCTGCGACCCGAGCATCTTCTCCAAATATGCGATACTTGTACCCGACCTCTACTATCAGAAGGGTATCTGGGTGTTTGCGTTTGAGATCCACAACGTTCTGCTGCAGAGGTGTGAGCTTCTTGGTCTTCTTCGCCGCTGCACCTTTCTTCCCCTTTTTCGGTGCCGGCTCAGCCTCTTCCTCGTCATCCTCCTCTGCAGCATCCTCGTCTCCTTCGGTCTCTTGGTTGATGAAACCATTGCGCCTCTTGATATCCGCGATGCTATCAGGTCTTCCCAGCTTCCTCACAAACTTCTGGTGCAGTCTCTCCTTGATCTTGCGAGTGTCTTCATCGTCTTCCGCGGCATCGTTCTCGTCGTTGACTTGGGCAGGAGAGCTCGAAAAGGCATACTTGGAAGTCCTCGCAGTAGCCTTGGCCTTCGATCCACCCACGCTGTTCACCGAGATCTCAGAAGGCTCATTGCTTTCGCGGACGCGTTTGGAAGGAGGTTCTGAGTGGGTAGTCTCTTCTGCAGGCCTCTTCGACGATCGAGTCGGATTTCCAGCATCATCGTCGCTAGCATCGCTCACGAAAAGACCATTCGTCTCGGCGGTCTTCAGTTCGGAAGATTGGCGTCGTAATGTCGATGGAGCGGGTATGTCCTTGACTTTGGGCTTCTGTGTGGGCTTGGGGGTGAAGAAGTTGGAGATGGACTGCTGCTTCTTCTGTGAGGACTGCGACGACATGGCTGTCTCCTCCACATCGCCTGGATTGGAAGTGGATTGAAGGTGGAATGGCGACTGAAGAGCTGCGGTCATCGCGCTTCGAAACTCTAATCCACGCGTGGAAGGAGACGAGACGGGGATCCCTGCAAGCGCAGTGAACCTCACTTCACCTCTTAGTTCACGTCTCTTTCACCTCGACGCCATCCATCCCAAATTGTCAAATTCAATCAAAACCACCTCTACGCCAGATACTATATACTCAAACACAACCATATATGATGCTGCAATCCCAGACCCTACCCACACCCTCTCTTCATCAGTTTCGAGACATCCGAAGCGTTTGCATGGCTGCGCAGTTGCTGCCGAGCAATCAGCATGGCGACGGCGATGACAGATTGGCGATGTAGTACCACCCTCAACAGACCGACCTCTCCAAGCTGTCCCTGTAAGGTCCGCAGTACGCAGCTGGCCTCAGCGACTCCTCAGGGCCTTAACCTCAAAACAGTGAACATCGAGTGAATACATGCACACGCTCTGCCGAGGTGGCGCCGACACAAGTGAAGCCCAAGTTTGGGTGTCGTGAATAGATTTGTGACTGGATGGCGTCACGCCAGCATCCATACTTCCACCCACCGTCACCCTCGACTTGCGCCGCTCCAGCACCGACTTGACCACAATGCGACCACCATGATGCATCCCGTCGTCCCCTACTACAGACGCGACATCGAACGCATTGATAGCAGAGCCCGACAACTCTTCGACCGGTCTGCCGCAGACGGTCCCATCCCTGAGTACTTCACTCAGCACGGCGACCAGGGCGACGACCTCGACGGTAGCTGTGGAGGTCTCACGATCGGCTATTCGTTGTATCGCGCTCTAGCTCGTTTACTCATTGGCGACGCAAAGGCCTGGCCGTTGATCCGTGATGCAGTCTTGCATTTCGCTTTCACAGTCTATTCAAATCGGTCGCATCCGCTGCACGCCCGTTACAAGATCTACGAACATGATGTTGCGTCAGACACGGGCTACGACCTCTTTGCACTGCTCGATTGCCCAGACTTTCGACCCGATGCCGCAATCTTCTGGATCGTCGCCCAAACCCTCGATGTTCGCATCTGCATTCACAAGCACCTAGTTGGTCCCACCAGTTCGAGATTCCCGCCAGCTAAGTTCGGCGCCGAGAACAGACAACGAGTCCACCTGCTGCAGGAGACAATCGACATCTTCCCTGACGACAAGTGGTCCTTTGGGCACAAGACAGTATTTCGGTCTCTACTGCCCGACGCTTCGGGCAGAGACATTGTGAGGTACGTGTTGTATCAGCATTTTATTTTCCACTTCGGTTTGGACAACGAGCCGTTCGAGCACAGACGGAATCATACCCCAGCATTGGAGCAAGTCAGCTGGACTTGGACACCAAACCAGGCCACCGTAGCAGCCGAAGACGTTAGGTGCTACAATGGTTTCCGGGACGAGAATGTACTACGAGACTTGAGGTCTATCACCACTTCCAATCGCATGGACACATTTGCGATGGCTGTTCACGACCCACGCCAAGTCAACTTCGCTCTAGAGACCTTCAACAGGATTCTTAGTAAAGCGCCGAACCAGTTTAATGGCGTCAAAGTCTCGGGCGAGTGCAGGCCTGGTACGCTGCTCCCATACTGCTCCATCGATGTGGAGTTCTTGAGACTACCCCGAGGGCTTGTGGCCGGCAAATCACCAAACCAGGTAACTCGCATGGTCGAGCGGGGAGAAGTGGATGAGATCTGCTCTGTGCTCACCCTTGGAGTTGGAAAGCATGTGGTCATCATGTTCTATCTCGCTCAAATGCTGGAACATCCCAATGGGGAGACCATCCCTGCAATCGAGCGTGTCTTCCAAGCCACCATCTTCAACACTAAGCTGCTCAAGTTGTGGTGGAATCCCCAAACGGATTTTCGCGTTCTCGAAATGACGATGGCGTATATGTATCAGGGTACGCCAGGTACAGCTCACAATGCAGCTCACAATGCAGCTCGTGGAGATCCAGGTTGCTTTTCCAGGCCGCGATTCTACTTTCAGGACCTGCACCTCGATTCCGTGCGACCATCGTGGATGCGATTCCGACAAAGCGACGAAGAGTGTGATTTGCACGAACCTGGGCAAAGTGAGAAGGGTATGTCGTGCCCCTGCTACCTTGGCAACATCGACCTCGCAGCTCTTTTGAATCACATCTGCCGGCTGCAGGGGCTCAGCATGCCGAAGCTCAAATGGACACAAATAAGAGCGCATTTCAACTATGGCTCCCTGCTGGAATTGATGCTGCGTGGGCATCGGCTGCTGCCTATTCTACTTTGGATGAAGTCGTGCCACCGGGAAGCAGGAGTTTCCCTCATGTCTTTCTTTCAAGGCCAGGGTGAGCTTGGTATGGAGAAGAATGGGCTGTACATGGCGTACAACGCAGTGGATGTGCTTGGTCTGAACTTGATCGTGGAGCAGATCAGCGGCGCTGAAGACAAACAGCTCGTGGCACGCATGCTCATCGACTACTCCCAGGGTACAGTATGTTCAGGCCCATCGGACCGGCTTGTACCACAACGGGCATCTCCGCCGGAAAGGTACTATATTCAAGAACTGAAAGGACCCACACCTGTCCCCTTGTTTGACGACAGCCCAAAAGACTTCATCCGCAAGCCGTTCGATGCCAGTCAAATACCGCCTAACGCTCCAAAAATCATCACGGACGCATCATTGTTTGCGACGGACACCTTGCACTTCTGGGAGCACGAAGAGCGATTGCAGATGAGCCGCAAGCTTTTGCGAAACGGAACCATTGGAAAGGGCGTTTTTCAGACATCTATATACCAGCTGCCCTCCCAAGCCGAACGTGATGGGCAGAAGCGCCTCAAGGATGAGCTTTTGAGGCAAATGACAGACCCAACGAGGTTTTGGGTCCCGGAGACATGCGCGGTCATTCTAGAGGATGAGCATTCGGAACCCATCGTCCGGGCCGGCATTTCGCACGCAGAAGCACTGATCAACTTCCTCAAATCACCAAAGGCGGCAGGTCTACTCCCACCTCGAGCGTTCGGTCAGGAATATAGACATTCACAAAACCGTCCAAGGGCTCTCCCCAAGTCTCTTGGTGGCGTCATTCCAGGTGGTCACACGCCAGCTGCACGCAATATCTTCGACGCTTTTCCAAAACATGATGATAAGCAAGCCGTCGGCGATGACCTTGGAGAGCCGGTAGAGCTACCAAAGCCACCAAAATGTATCTCGAGCGACACGATCTCAATGAAAGCTCGAGCAGAGAACATGATCATGATGAAGAGAACCAGAGGAGTCCCCAACGCCGAATACGAAGTCCGCGCCGAGCTTGCACAGCAAGTCGTAGAGGAATATCGTCTGAATGCCGATGAGGGGCTGCCAAGTACTACGGACTTTCGCGACGTTTGGGATCCAGAGGGTCTAGAGTACAGAAAGATGGTGGAGGCTAGCCCTGAGTGGAACAAGCCCGCCATGGAGGTGCCCCAGACGAGGCCGAATGAGGGATGGATGTCAGTGGCGACTGAGACATTGGGAGTGGTGAACAGGATCATTGAATGGCAGGAAACTTGGCAGTACAAGAGTTGGTGGTAGCGCTTGAAAGGAAGGATGGAAGCTTTTGCCGGGGACCGCTTGATAGATGCATTGTCGTTGTAGGACAAGAGAAGGTGGATGATTCATGGAAGAAGCGATGAGCGGTTATACTGAATAGCCAGAGTACAACTCTCAGAGAATCACTGCGTCCTCGTTGAATCTTCACATGCGTCTTGGCATTTTCACGTGATACCTGATCCGTGCTCGAATGACGTCCACTTTCGGCAGGAACCCACCTTTACTCCTCGAACTGCCTGTCGCCGAGAAGTAAACCTACTAGGTGTTTCCAGATATGTGATGAACACTCTCGACTCATTTGCCATTTAGCATCCACGTCACTTTTATCTTATGACACTTGGCATACCGGCTTCACGTCACGGCTTCTTGAATACTACACAAATCAAGGCGACCATACTGAGCTTTCGTGATTCAACCACCCACGACCCATCAGCCATCGACCGACACACATCCCTAACCAGCGACAGACGTCTCTCGAACCAGCGACAGCCGAAAAAAATGGCGATTCCCACACCTCCAGCGACGACGTGCACGGCGAGCATTCACCAATTCCCAATCCACCCCACAAGATGACTCGCCCCAGGTAAGAAGTGACGCCGTGTATTCACGAGGAGCGATGACTCAACCAGGGAGCCTGAATATTCACTCGCCGTCGTCTCGTCACGAGCGCCGGCTTCTCGAGAGGCTACAAATAGACCGTCTCTTCCATTCTTCTTCCTTCCTAGCGCTTCTGTTTTCCTATCTTCCCTGCACCACGCTCACATCCGTCGCCGCCACACAGAACAACTCCTCGCCAGCAACCGCACCATCCTCGACACCCTGGCTGCGTCAAATCGGGCGAAGAAGGGTCACGCCCAAGCCCTCGGAGGCAATGGGCGGAAGAGCAACCATCGCAAAGCTTGTAAGTCCCGTGGGGACCTCCAATACAACCAACTCGAGGCTAACATCTCACAGCAGACGCTCTCATGGACCTCTCAGGTATGGATGGCGGTGAGTACAGCGACAAGGAGAACATCGAAGACCTCACGCCGCTGTTCAAGCCCCTAGCAGAGCCCGTGGCCAAGAAGCGCAATGCCGCGTCGCCCCTCAAGGAGAAGATGCAGCCTGCTGCCAAGAAGGCCATGATGGGTCCTAGGCCGAAGACATCGCCTGTCAAGAAGCAGCCGCCGAAGATGGGGTCGCTCTTGCCCAAGCCAAAGATGGAGCAAGCTGGGAAGGAGCCACCCAAACCAGAACCCGTCAAGGAGGAGCAATCCACGTCAAAACCCATCAACAAAGCAGCAGTCGCGACCGCCTCCGAAGCAGAATCCACGACCAAGACCATCATCACCAACCGCCCCCTCCCCAGCAACGAAGAACTGCACATCCGCGCCGAGCTCCAGAAGCAGAGCAAGCCTCCAGTCCTGCACCGCATCCTCAACAACTCCACCCAGCGCCGCGAAGAGATCAAGACGCGCATTGAGGATCTTAAGGCGCAGAAAGCCGCTATCGGACCCGGAGCTGAGAAGACTGATATTATGCATGAGATCAATGCGCTGAATGTCGAGGGGAGGTTGGTGCTTTCGCTTTCTTGTTTGGCGCAGTTGAGGTTGAGGGAGGTTGAGGATCTGGAGAAGGGCGTGGCGGAGGCTGGTCAGGCTGATGGGTAGATGCTCAGGGGTGATGAGCTGCTCACTGCTTCCGTTGTGCCCCTTGACGCCATCCCATCCAAACCGCGATGGCGAGCCCCCGTTGTTCTTTCGTCCAGAGCAAGACAGCAGTCTGGATACAACCTTCTGGGCCGGCACTGATCTGGTGCCGCCCAACTGTGCGTCTGAGCAGTGTAAATTGTCGATTCGTCGAATAATGCGCTGCTATCACTTGCTTGGGGTATTCATAGAATCAATGAAGTCATTATCATCACCACTGTCCTCTTCTTCGTTCACAGTACCCACTCAAGTAAGTCAAGACGTCCTATCGCCAGGTCTTCCAGCTCAAGGCCTAAACCCCGTCCTCCGAAAATAAGCCTCCACCTCATCCTCATCCAACTCATCCGGATGCTTCGGCAATCTCCGATCACTGCCCGGAAAACTCCTCTGAAACGTCTGCTGGATCCTACGATCCCGCTGAATATTCAAAGACTTCTTCTGCACGGCCTTCTGGTGGAGGATCTGCACGGCAGGGGCGTGGACCCGGGAGAGATGGATGAGTTCCTCGTGATGCTCGACGGGTACCAGCTCTGTGAGTGTCTCGATCACCGTTGGGGAGTCGGAGATGCTCTGGACCCGGCCGCTGAGGCTCGCGCCGTTGTTGATGAAGATTTTCGCCATTGTCCAGAGCTGTGTGTTGTCCAGGGGTTCGTGCTTGGGCACTCGTCCGCTTGTTGTGGCTTTCTTCCAGTCTCGCAGGAACCATTCCCACGGCGTGAAGTCGTCGACCTCGTCTCGAGAGCTCATATCGATGCCGGAAGCCAGGTAAGCTTTGAGCGAGGCTTGGTCGATTTTGTCAATGGCGAAGAGTCGCCCAGTTCTGCCGGTGCCAATAATCGCTTGCAAGAACGGCCGTCGGGGGAGAGGCATATCGAATCGTGCTATTGCTGGGGTTTTACTCATAGCAAGAGGTGCAAAGCCATAGAGCCTGCGATCCAGCATCATATGCAAAACCGCTCTGGAGTCGTGCTGTTGGGCGCAGTTGCAGTATTTCATATACCTCGCGGCAACCTTGTCGAGCTCGGCGTAGATGTCTGCAGACAACTGATTGTGCGGCGCGTTCTCGGCGATGTCCTCCAGCGCTTCGGTGAGGAACCTACAGCGTCCTTTTGACTCAAACGGTATGAATTTCAGACGTGCCAAAGCCATTCGAGTGTCGAAGTCGGGGTCGTGCACCACATGAGCCAAAGCCCTCGTCTTCAATCTCTCCCGCATCTCATCCATGCAGAGGAACTCGTACACTGTTCTGTGGAGGAACTCTACTCGATATTGAGTTACGTAGGTTGTTTCGTCTGAATCCCTGGCTGGAGGCGGTTTGGGGATGTATAGCAGATCTTTGCAGCAGGCACTGATGAACTTCCTCGTGGCCTTGACCATTGCAATGCACTTCTCAGCATCAGTCTCTTCGATCTTTTGACTAAAAGCAAAGTCCTGCTCTTCCAATCCATTCTGCAACAGCCAAAGATTGATGAACGCTCGACGGTGCGCATTGCTTGAACAGGGCGTCTGCAGTTCACGCTGAGCAGCTTCAAAGGATAGTTGAAGCGCAGTCCCGTTCATACTCTTATACACGTGATGCACTCTGGACAGTATCAGATCGAAATAAGCGCCCAAATCGGACGGTAGCTGCTCGACTCGTTGACGTAGGATGCGAATGCTGTCGCCTTCGTCCAGTCCTTCAAGTAGAGACTTGACTGTAAGATAGACCCACAAGAAGACACCCTGTGCTTTCTCGGCAATCTCGTCCAGCAGCGTCTTCACCTCCGGCTGATCTTCGATATGCTCTGATAACTCCTCGAATACGTAGTTCCGTATATCCTGCTTCGTGAGTTCCTCCAACACGAACGAGTCGGGCTGTGATCCGAAAGCATTTTCAAATGGGTTCCATGGCCGACTGGACACACAGAACTTGAAGTCTGGATTCAAGGCAAGCTTTTCAATGAGCTTCACGAGTCGTCGATGGTCAGCATGGTACTCGTCCAGGCCATCGATAAAGAAGCCGAATTTGTGCATGGAAGTACACTGGGTTATCCGTTCCATGGCGTCCAGAAGCTCGTCCGCCGTCCAGTCGTAACCTGCTGCGTTCTTGTAGTCCTCTTTGCCCCACGTCTCAAGAGCATTAGTGATTGCCTTCCACCGACGCGGAGCAGCAACAGGAATCAAATCGCGCGATGCCGTGAGGATTTGGTAGAGGACACTTCGCAAAAGTCCTTCTTCAGACTTCTGAAGGTGAGTTCCCAGAAACCAGAAAAACATTGTCACAATGTGAAGGGACTCCTTCCCGGCCCATTGTTGCAGCAGGTCCCTTGTCTCGGTTTTGCTCGTCACGAAGCGCATCAGCGTTGACTTGCCCGAACCTGCTTTCCCGTTAACCCAGAAGAGAGCTCTCGAGCTTCGCAGCCAGTCTTCGAGCGGTGACTTTGGTGCATACATCCATTCGAACGTCTTGTCGTGGGCTCGAGGGATGGCGGTCTGCCTTGCATTCATCTCCGGAAAATCGAGACTGCCAAGAATGCTGTCACATGTCTTAATCTCCCTTTGTACACGATGGGCATCCACTTTTGAGGTAGGCCGATGCGAGGCTGTCTTGTTCTCTTCGCCGTCTTGGCCGATCCAGTTCCCGTAAACCCTGGTCCCTTGTCCTGTGCTATGAGCACCGCTATCCTGCCCGGGGAGCCAACCCTTTGCGTTGCTGAAGTCTTCGACGCCAGATGTGTCATTTTGTTGTCGCAGTTTGGCATCCAGATCAAGAAGGAAGCCATCAGTCCGCAAGTCTTGCTGTTTCAGTGCCGATAATAGCTCGCGCCTTGACTCTTTTATTTGCTTGAGCACGTCTTCCTTCACCTGACGTACCAACGCATCTGTTGCCGCCGCATGCTCCGATTCTTCCGCCCTTATAATGCGCCATAGAGTGCGATCAAGCTGCTGTTGGTAGCTCTTAAGGTTCTTCTGTATCTTTTCAATCTCACTCCGTTTCCACTTGGCCTTGGTCACACACCACAACGCTGAAGCATATCGTCTCCTGCCATTGTCTCTTGGCTTCACGGTCAGACCATCCAATATGACTACCAACTTTCTAGCCTCTTCTGCACAGCTCTTAGCTAATGTTTGGAGGTCGACTTCGTTCTGATCAATGTCGTTGGGGTCCTTATTCGGATCGACGGCGGCTTTCGAGACGATCTGCTGGCATGCGAGCTCTTGCTGCTTTGCAAGACGGGCAATGTCTTCGCATGACGGCAATGTTCCACTGGCAGACTTTACGAGGCGGTGCGTTTCAGCCAAGACGTCTCCAGTGAACGCAATGATCTGAATCACGTTCGCCGCGAGCCCCAGGGCGGTAAGTGGGTCCATGGCACTTGTTCGGAGACATAACCATGGTCAGATTTGAAGTATTCAAGGCCTCCGATCGAGTGCAAGGCGAACAACCGTAGACAGTAGCCTGTGCATGGTGTGTCTGGTCAGGTCGATAGGTGGTATAGTCGTTCAGCCGCATGTGGTGAGGTGTGGTGGAGTCCGAGGTCGCGGGCTGTGTAGACGCAGCTAGGTCTAAGCGCGCTGCAGCATACATGGGAGAGTAAATCCTGGCTGGGCGGTGATCATCATACTGCGTCTGCGAGTTCGTCAGTAGCATCGGCATATGGTTGAACGACTTGGTGAGTAAAATTGTGTCTTGGTACCGTTCCTAATTTGAAATATTGTCTGCCGGACGGTAAGCTGTTTAGAGACTTATAGATCAATACTAGTACCGCTCGATATGCTCCTGACGAACTCGGTCTCGACACGGAAATACACCCAAACAAACCGCCGCAAAAGCTCCATGATCTCGAGTAGGAACACGCCGCCTTCTATGCCGTCCAGGTAAACGAGATGTAGCGAGAGCTTGAATGACCAAGCAAATCGCAGGACAATGTCGGACGCGACGACGGTGTAGTAGAGCATCGGCAGCTTGAAGACCCGGTGCTGGCGTAGGCCAAAGGGCTTTGCATGTCGAGATTTGGATAGCAATGTCAAGTCCCAATCCATGGACACGTCCCACCAGAAAGAATAAAGCGAATTTGTAACTGCCGCTAGCCGCCTGTTGCCTGTTGTCAGTGAAAGCAAGAGAAATGTGACCATACTTCATACCAAAAGAATTGCAGACCAGTGTCATTCCTTGCCATGGAACTGAGTATGATGACTGGAAATGCTGTAGCATACTTCAATGCGTTTGCCCACTGGCCTTCCTTGACGCACTGCCGCAGTCGAATCATAAAAGGCCAAGCAATGGCCACTGGGACTATGAGTTCGTGTCCACAAAGGCGGTCCGGTTTGTTGGTGGTGTGCAAGCCCTTGAAGAACATGCAAAATGTGACGAAAATCTCTGAGATTGGTTTTGAATACGAAGTCATAGCATCCGCAAGCAACACGTCGCCAAATTTCTCTGGCTTGGGTTTGGCAATTCCGCCCACCACACAACGCTTCAGCCCTTGAAAGAGGCGGTGGACGCCATGAGAGTTGGTCGAGCCGAAGACTCCTCGCGCGAACCCGTAGCGAGGTAGTATGAGGACTGCCAGAATAGCCAGGAAGAGGATGTTCGGGATCCAATCGTAGGCAACCACCAGGTCAGAATCGCCTCGTGTGAAGTTCCAGAAGAGGACCATAGCCGTCATCCACATCCCCGTGAGAACGGCCGCAAGGCGGTATGTTGAGACGTGTAATGGTGGCTCATCGTCGGCTGGGCGCACCGGGTATCGTATAAGGGAGAAGATGTCGATGTTGAGGAGGTGGAATCCGTGCAGATTCAGCGCCCATAGCCAGAATCCCAGGATCAGTTCGAACTCCAGCCGGAAGGGGAGAGGTAATGCCCGGCTGAAGGGGTCTGGTCCTTCAGCCGGCGCCGTGTCCATTCTCTGCGAGTCTCGTGATGATTTGGGTGAAGGATTGAGGAGGAGGAGAAGGATGTGGAAGTCGAGGTGAGAGCAAAGTGGCTTGAGGGCGCGGCCGTGTGATTGGCTCGTGCCCCTGCCAAGGATCCCACGCAAGGACGTTGCACATTGCCCACCTCACTTCACCCCATCCAACCTCACTTCATGCAAAAACAATTGATACTTGAGTATTGTGGTCAGTAAAAGAATACCATGCAGATGTGTAGATTGCACTGATGAAACGATCTCTTCACTGGTTCCAGGCCTGGGGAAAACACTCCCTGGCGCTCCTCCGACGGCAACAACACCTCCAGATCAGCTATTGTCTCCAGAGTAGGCCATGAAACAGAACGGAGGCGGAAACCTGGTATTTGTAGTTCCGGCTGGGCTTACAATGATAATTTTGGCTCGTTGATGTGAGTCTTCTTAATCGCCGCTGAGTCCGAGCTAGAGTAGCGATTTCGGACGATGCCCTCTCCACAGGCTTAAGAAGACAGCAATTCTCATCACCAATCGCCAAGGCTTGACACAACCGCCACAATGATTGTCTTACAGCGTCTTGAGCACGAAATCGTCTCCGCCCGCAAGTTACAGCAGGATGGCACTCCTTCAGCTTCTCTGGCAATCCTGGAGGATGGAGAAATCTTGACACATGTCATTGGCAGCGACAACGAGAATCCAGATACGATCTACCAATGTGGCAGCATCTCGAAGGCCATCACAGCAATGGGTGTCGCCAGAATGGTGGATCTAGGCCAGCTCTCCTACGACACCAGAATCGTCGACATCCTCCCCAAGCACATACCTTCGAGCTTCCTCGACCCGCAGACAGCACACCTTCTTGATTTGGTCACGGTTCGAATGCTGATAACACATACGTCCGGTCTGACCCAGCCTTATGATTCAGGCCATCCGCGAAATTTTGAGACTTTGCCCACCAAAGAGGAGAGTATTCAGGGCCATTCGAGCACTAACTCAATACGGCTGCAATTTGGATCGCTGCCTGGTGCCCAGTTACTCTACTGCTCAGGATCATTCACACTGCTTGAGATCGCCATGGAGAATATCACAGGGAAAGCTTTTTCTGAGCTTATGCAGGAACTGGTCATGAAGCCACTCGATATGAACAGGACGTTTTATGGCGACTTGCCTGACGATGAAAGCAACTACACAAAACCGTATCTGAACGGCTATCAGCCTACGCCAACAGGGGTTCATCGTTTCACCGAGCTGGCGGCTGTCGGACTATGGTCGACGCCTACTGATCTGCTGAAGATAACGTCTGCTATACAGCAAAGCATCCATTCAGACAACGGCTTTCTGAAACCTACCACAGCTCACGAGGTGAACGCTCATATTCTTCCAAACCTCCCGCGAAGTGGCCATTAACTTCCATCTAGATCCTCATCTCAGGCGCAGTAACCTTCCGCTCGGGCGCCGCCCAACACCGCTGCAGCTTGGGATGGTACTCCACACACACAACCTTCGCCCACCGCGGCGCAAACCCAGGCTACCATTCCTACGTATTCGGCTTCTTCGACCAAGCAGATCCATCGCTCCATCAAAGTGGCTTCAGCATCATGACCAATTCTCTACTTGGACTCGAGTCGATTCGACCGATCTTCAGCGCGATACTGTATTTGAAGGGTTGGCCGAGGCAGAAGCTTATGCCGTCGAGTTTGGGCATGGATGATTATGTGCCTTATTCTGCGGCAGAGGGGACGGGTGTTGATGAGGGGTGGAGAGAGTGGGAGGGGAGGTGGGAGAATGATTGTGAGTTGTGCCTGTCAGAAGACTGGGCTTGCTACTGACGTGCCGTCACCAGGGTCACTACTAGAAATTGATGGGCAGCCAGCCCTTCAATTGAAGAATCTCCCACCAGTCAAACTCCTCCCCGCCGCGGCGCCATGCCAGTCTTTCGAAGACAAGTCCAAGAAAGAGATCATGCTAGTAGCCGATGGACTGTCCGCTACAGCAGTACGACTCACCTGGTCAGACAACACGCGAACCATGGAACTCCTCCAACTCGCCAAAACAGTCCTCAAAAAGGTCTCATAATATCATTACCATTACCTCATAACCACACACTAGAAATACATCCTCTCTCCCTACTGCTTCAACCTCAACAACCTCCTCAACCCCGCATACTTCCGAATCGCATGCGAATTCTCCTCATCAACCCCATGCCTCGACACAACATTCAAGAACACCTGATCCAGCGTCGCATGCCCAATACTATAATCCCGAATCCTCATCTGCTGCTTGCTCGCCTCAATCGCGCGGAACAGCTGTCCCATATGACTCCCATCCAAAAGATGCGCCGGCGCATCCTCATCCCGCTGGATCGGCACCGCGAAGCGCACCTGTCCGCCCACAGACTTCTCCGTCTCGGCGATGAGGAACGTCGCCCTCACCCATTCCCAGAGATCATCCATCGCCTCCTGCGACGAACGCGGTGCGTCTTCGTGCACGAGGTGCACGTAGATCTTATCGCCGAAACGTTCGTGCAAGCCGGAGATGGTGCCCAACGCGAGCATTTGACGCGCCATGATTCCCGCGCGGTCGCAGAGCGCGTCGGCTTCTTCCATGCTGTGCGTGGTGATGAGCAGGCTGCGGCCGGCGGAGATGGCTTTGAGAGTGTCCCAGAGGGAGCGCTTGGCGGCGGCGTCCATGCCGCTTGAGGGCTCGTCGAGGAGGAGGACGGAGGGGTTGGCGATGAGGGCGATGCCGAGGGAGAGCTTTCGTTTCGTGCCGCCGGAGAGTTTCTTCACGAGTTTGTTCCTGTGGTCTTCCAGGCCGAGGCGGGTGATGATCTCGCGGATGTTTTCATCTTTCTGCTTTTTGTTCAGGCCGCGGGCACGAGCGTAGAAGTGCAGGTGTTCTGAGAGGGTCATGGAGTCGACGGCGTCGAATTGGGGGCATACACCCAAGTGCTGCTTGGCGGATACTGGTGCATGCATCAGGCTGTCGCCCGTGATGTGGATCTCGGATTGATGAGGTGAGTCTGGACGAAGATCGCCCCTGATGAGCGAGATCATTGTCGACTTTCCAGCCCCGTTGGGTCCAAGAAGGGCGAACTTCTCAGATGGAAGGATGCCGAAGCTGACATCGTCGACGGCCTGGTTCCGGTCGAAGGTCTTCGAGATATGCTGGACACGTAAGCCACCATTGGCAGAGGACAAGCGTTCGCCCTCTTCAGCGCCATCAGACCCTGCATCGCTGTCCTTCTCAATATCCTTTGGTGTGTTGCGTTTGGAACGGGAGCGGATGCCAAACGCCTCAAGACTGCGGCCAGATTCCCAGAAGATGAGGAACAACACCAGGACGAAGGACTGGACGATGAGGTACAAAATTGGTCCGCCATACAGACTGATCGAACCTGGGTTCGATGAGAGATAGGCACCATTGCAAGCAAGAGCGTAGACGTTCAGGACGACAAGGAGTGCTCGTAGCAAGCTGACAGCTGGGCAGATGAGTGCGACTGTGAAGTAGATGTACTCGAGCTGGCTGTAGATCTTGGAGAGGTCTGCCATGTCGACAGTCAGGAAGCAGCTGTTTCCAAAAATCAGTCCTTGAACAATCGAATCGAAATTGATTCCAACTCACCCAACGAAGAACAGCATGGCAATGACAGCTTGGATAATGCAAGTCATTGCGATGGCTGCGAGCTGCGATGGAGCAAAGAGTGAGATCACGTAGGAGTAGGCAGTGGCTGCCATGCCGTAGAACAAGAAGACCCTAGAACTGAAGTCAATACCAAGTCATGACAAAATTGGTACATAGGTAGGGAGTCAACTCACAGGAACATGTATCCCAATCTGTACCAGTTATACCCATTGGCGACCCATATAACCGTCACCAGCACTGCAATTAGTAGTAAGAAACAGAAGTCGAACAGGGCGTACGCCGTCCACAGAGGTCCAGTAGAGATTCCGTTACTGTAGTGCATAGCTCGCACTTTCTGTATCCTTTCTCTGGTCGGGTACAGCGCGAACAAGCCAGGAAATAGGACGAAGCCCAGCGTCGTGAACACAGCGACGAGACTCTGAAAGAAGTCCCTCGGTGCATATCCCTGAGCGAAGTTCTGATACGACTTTGCCACGGATGTGTTCGTCAGCGCCATATCCAGCGCACCGAGCATGTCGAATGGCGGATATGGGCTATAGCCACCCGCGAGCCACGCAAAAACAGGTGCTCCAGAGGCTGGGATGAAGAAGCCGCCTTCTCCATAGTTGCCCGAAGACAAAGAGTTGTTGATCTGGGTATTAAAGTCTTGAAGCGATGTGGCGTATTTCGCAGTACTCCAAATCTGCTGAAGGTAGTCCGTATCCTCGGTGCCGCAATACGACGATCCTGGATAGCAGAATGTAGCATTAGGCAACAAGTCTTCCAGTCTACCCGTGGTGATTTCGCTTTGCGGGCCCAGAATGAGGTCCTGTCCGACTCGGTATGGAGCCAGATTTTGTGGTACGTTGTAGTAGTTGTATGAGCTGTACTGGTCATTTGGATTCTGACATTGGAGGCCGATATTGGAGACATTCAAGAGGAATCTGGTCACGAGGCCGGCTACCACCAAAGGCACGAAGAGCGCTGCCACGTAGGGCATGAAGTTGTGCTTCAGAATGGTGAGGCGTTTTCGGAAGAGGACTCCAGTTTGTCGCCAAGGTCCAGCTCCCTTACCAGTGTGTAGAGTCATGGTCTCGTGCGGTTCAGAAACGTACTCGCTCTTTGCCGATTGCTCCAGAAACTCCGTGTGTTGCATCTCGTCTGCGAGCCGGAGGAAGATCTTCTCAATGCTGGGTCCTTCGATCTTATAGTTCGTCAAGCCATGTTGATCCAGAGAGCCAATGAGCTGGGTAAGAGTCGCACTGTCTGGCACGTTCAGCACCGTATCTTGGTCAGATTGTCGAGCATTGTCAGCAAGTGTAGGAGGGAGCTTTCCGGCTGCTGTCTGTGGCAAGATCACGTTGAACCCTTCGCCCAGAGACGTCTTTAGGTGTGCGACTGTTCCTTGAGCGCGCAACTTGCCTTTCGACAACAGCGCGATGTCATCAGCCAGGACTTCAGATTCGTCCAGAAAGTGCGTGGTGAGCAGAAGGGTACGATGACCTCGCTCTCGCAGGAGGATGTTCCAAATCTTTCTTCTGGCCAATGGATCGATACCAGATGACGCTTCGTCAATACAACAGACTCGGCTGCCACCAGCCAACATCATGCTAAGTTGAAGCTTTCGCTGTTGGCCACCTGATAACGTCTTTGACCGGGCGTATGTTTTATGCTTGAGATCGCAGCCGTCAATGAGTCGAGCGACTTCCTCGTGGCACTCTTTGCGCGAAAGAGATGGGTTCTTCAGACGTTGAAAGAACCAGACGTGCTCTTCAACAGTCATGTCTCGCCACATTACGTTCTTCTGTGGACATAGGCCGACCCCACCACTGCCGTCAATTTCAATGCTTCCGTCAGTGATGCTTTCGAGGCCAGCAATGGAGTTCAGTGTGGTCGATTTTCCAGATCCGTTACTGCCCAGAAGGACCATGATAGTACCAGCGAAAACATCCAAAGACAATTGGTCGACGGCAAGAGTTCGATCACGCTTCTTCGCCGCCATGTTGTATCGCTTGCTGAAGTTCTTGATCCGAAGAGCGTTGCCCTCCATCTGATCTGCCGTGCGGTAGTGGCGTCCTCGGAACGAGCTTCCCCAAAGAAAGCGCTCGATGAGAATGGCCAAGATCGGGTAGAGGACTATCTGGAATGTAAAGAAGCCCAGGAAATAACTTGGGGAGAGATCCCAGGTTCTGATATCCAAGACAGTGCCGAGGAGTGCAGGAACTCGTTGATCAGGACGGAATGGCTGGCTGAAGATTTCAGAAACGGCAGCCGAGACGAGATAGTAGACAAAGCTGCTGGGTGGGAAGAGGAGCCCAGTCGCGGTAGCCTGTGGCACTGTCAGTCTCATTGGACATTGAAGCCTGCTCTACGTCTCTTACCGCTGCGGTGTTTGTGGACTTCTGTCCGGACTGCGAGAACTGCGCGACAATCGCAAAGGCTATTGCAGCCACTGTTGCACTGATGGCTGACAGCTGCTGGTGACGGAAGAGAGAGCTCGCTAGGATTGAGAAGCTGAAAGCAGGAGTCAGCTATTGAACAGTATCGAATTGGTAACATCTCCACGGCTTACCTGGTCATAGCCAGCCCAGCCATGACGTACTATGAGCATGTCAGTACAAGGTCTCGTCCTTCAGGGATACTGGGAACATCTCACCAGCAAGACAAACCAACCAGCGTTGGAGTGGGGGAAGATGATTGATCCAACGACCGCACCGCATACAATCCAAGCCGGCAAGTAAATGATATCAAAGGCCAGGTGCGTGGCGAACATTCGAGCGACCAAAGACTCCCAGCGAGACTTGTTCGGCATCTGGGCGTCGATGAGTTGCAGCATTCCCTCTTCGCGCTGACGAACAACGTGTCCCGTGAGATGATATGCTATCCCGACGAGTGCCAGGAAGAGGACGAAAGCAATCGCCTGAGTGACTAGCAAGCCAAAGAACTTGCTGTCTTTAAAGTCGACTTGCTCCTGCGTCTGCATTGTAAACGGGTATTGTAGGATGGTATCGGGCAGTTGTGAGCCGTTGTTTCTTTGCGATATCAAGGAATCGACTTCACGTTGAAGTGGTAGAGTGTAAAGTTGGACAGCATTGGAATCGCTGCGCACGTCGGCGCCGCTGATGACGGAGTCTTGCCAGATGGTGTAGTTCCATATCGCGCCAGGAGCTTGGTCCGGAGAGGACCAGAAATCGACAGCGCCGAAGCAGTTGGTGACCTGTTGTTGGAGTTGAGTCAGCTCGTGCCAGAATAAGTCCAATTGGGGACTTACGCCTTTGCTAGAGCTTGGGCAAGCGGTGGTCAAGTCGTCGGAGTCTTTCAAGATTTGAAGGTTGCGGTTGCCATTCCGAGCCATGGTAGAGAGCTGGTCGATCACGAACCGCACGTCTGCTCCCGGAAGACCTCTGTCAACAATGACAAAGTTCGTTCTCTGTGTGCCCACAGCATCGAAAGCTTCAGGTAGGGATCGAATGGGAGACGGTTCGCCAATGCCATATCCACCATTGTTGTGAATCCAATTCTTGACAGAAGCGAGGATAACGGTAAGAACGATTGGAAAAGCGACGGCTCGAATGAATGTGCTGAACCACCGTCGACGAGCGACAAGTAAAAGATCTTTCTTGGTAAGAGTCCACGTTTGACTCACCAACTCAGAGACGGCCATTGTAACGAAAGCAGGCCGGTCTGAAGCAATCACGCGAGCAACTCGAAATCAACACATTGCCTCTGGCGATATATGAAAAGACAGATACGGGGCTGTGAAATGGGTGCCTGGGCCATGCATGAAACCTTGGTGCCTCGATAGCTTGTGAGAACACGAGAAAAGTGAACACCCGGGTTTGTATCGCCGCCGTCCATTCGACACGGATCATGGCGATCGATGAAGGATTTCAAGCGGGCAGTACTGTTTTATGAGTGATCGTCCTATTCTCAGTCGTCGTGGTCCAATGCCAAACGGCAAACTCCACCTCCCGAGGAGGGTTTTGAGCCATGAGCGAGGCGCAGCCCGCAGCGCATCCTTCGAGTCGTCCACTACCGGACTCAAACCCCAAGCTCACGAGGACCACTGCCACGCAGAAATTCCGGGCCGTGTCGCGGTCGCCCAACAGATGGTCTACTTCTCGGCAAATTGTGAACAAGCCTTGCCACCACGTATAGATTCGGCGCTTGAGGAGTTTGGAGGGTTGATGAGTCGGAGGTAAGGAGGACGTGAAAGTTGTGGACGCGTGGAGGCTCTACAATTGACTTCCGGCAAAGCGGCTGCGGCTCGTCATTGAATGAGTTCCCGGTGTGCTTGGCGATGCTGTGAGCAAAGTTCAATGATCAATTGATTGACACATTGATGGGAGCACTCCACGAGAGGTGACACTACAATACGGCTTGCACTGCCCACCAGACCCACGCTTGGTCATGACTTGAAGTTCTCTGTAAGCATTCATTTCCATGCCTGTGTGCCTTGGAGCCTTGTTCCACCCTACTCGCGAGGACAGGTGGATGGATGTCCCTGTATCTCGCTTCTCCTCGCGATGTTTGGTATTAGGCAGAAGCTATGGGGTATCGATGATGGAGTGTTCCTGACAGCTTGCAGAATTTAGTGGCAGGGCTGAGGAAGAATTCCGAGCTGGATGACCTGCTGATGTTTGCAGTAATCCATAGCTACCACATCGACTTTCATCACTACTTACGGAGATGTCTCAACCAGCTGCCAATAGCTCTTCAGCTGCCCAGCCGGTAGACCGGATCTTACCAGACATTCACTTACTATGCATGGACTCCAAGTTCTCCGACGCCTTCGAGGACGCAGCAGCCAAGCACTTTCCCGAGATCCACAGCCACAGCAAGATCACCGTCTTCAACTGCAGCCTTAAATACCTTCCCGAGAATGTGCGGGTCGACGGAGTGGTTTCGCCGGCGAACTCATATGCACGCCTGGATGGTGCCTTTGATGACGCTCTTGCCCGAGCATATGGCCCGCGGGACGACTATGGATGGATCACGCGCAAAGCCCAGAAAGTCGTGTACGAGAAATGGAGAGGCTTTGCTCCGCCGGGGACATGTACCGTGGTGAGGTTGGACCACGATGGAAAGACCGCCAGCAAAGACAGCAATGGGCATGTTCATCACTTGAACCCCTGGGCCACAGAGTATCTCCTCCTCTGTCCGACAATGAGAGTACCGGACGACGTACGCTGGGATCGAGAGGTGGTGTACGAATGTGTCTGGAGTCTGCTGTGTGCGATTGACGAGCACAATCGTGCCGTGCGAAATACCAGCTCCAGTGGTGACGAGAGAGAAATCAAGATAATCCTGATGACGCCCTTCGCCACTGGTATTGGGCGTGTCAGTCCGAAGAAATGGGCCGAGCAATGTGTACTTGCTATGAAGCAGTACGTGGAGGCCGTTCGTAACCCCCAGATCTGGAGCAGCCTGGAATGGAGCAAGATCGTCGAAGACCACGAGGAGGTGCAGGCTACGTATGCCAGTCAGGCATGAGATGCAGGGTCACGATATCCCTTCCTGCCAACGACTTGCCAGCAAGATAATACGAAAAGGATTGTCCGTCTATTAAATAGTCCTCCTGCACCAGTGACAGTTACAGAAGGGTGGAGAAGACGAGGTGCTGCTTACACCCGTGTTGTTTGATCTTCCACTGATTGATGAAGTAAGCTTGGAGGCTATGTAGAGCCAGGAAGCAGGCAAATCGTGGGTGCTGTACGAGAGGGACACTCTGGCGGCAGCAGTGTCGACGGTACCTACCGCGGTTGGGGATTCTATCCGCTGATGTATGTATATCTACATCCTGAGTTCGAAACGCTCTGAGCAGAAGCTTTTATGTGCCTTCGGAGTGCTGCCGATTTTCTTTGTGATGTTGTAGAGAAGGACGAGACTGCCAGCAGCAGCGAAAGAAAGAGACTTCGGCCCACCACGCCAAGACCGGAGCGCACAGATCCCCCGAGGTCGCTCCGCAAGAACGACCTCACCTCCAGCTCGCGCAACCCTTGTCTTTCCTCTCCCAACACACTTCATAATCACGAACGCATAATCAACCGTTTGTCCTGATTTTCTGTGGACTACATGGTCATATTGGCGTACAAGAATGACTTTGAGGCGCTTTTAGGCTTCTCCGCCGTGCCATGGCTGAGATAGTCACCTGCGTTTTTGCCTCACATTTCGATCGATCCTCGACGGGTTGGTTGCTAGAACTACCTCAGACCTGGTCAGCTGCGTGCAAGGGCTTTCCGGCTGCACTCCAGTCCTTTGGCCTCTCATGAACAAGATGCTCATGCTGTTCTCTTCACTGGACAACGACGTGCTCCTACCATTCCATGCTTCGATCCATCCGTACCTCGTCTGATGGAGCTTCTCTTTTCTAGAATTGATCAACCAACGTCTTGAGCTTCGCAACAGCCAAGCACCTGGCATCCTCAAGCAAATCTTTTTGCAAAGGGAAAAATGTGCTCCCAACAACTTTGTCCGGCAGCAGCAAGCGAAGTCTCCCACGCGCGTCTGTACGGATCAGTCTTTCTGCCTGAAGCTTCTCCGCCCTCGTGTGGTCCCCGGCCAGCTGAGCCATATCCTCTTTGAACTCCAGAAGGCGGTGGCAGTTACATCTGCAGGGCGCATCAGACCTGATTCGAGCATCAACTTCTACCGCAAGACGGGCCGGAAATCAATGGGGACGTGCTGTTTTGATGTGATGGCCGCACGGTGAACAACGTCACGGTGTACAGCACGGCTTGTGTCGCTCGTCTGACTTCTGCCTTGCCATAGTGCTGAATGGCTTCAACGTCTTCCTCCGCAAGTTCGATGGTCAGCTTGATCATCTTGTCCAAAGAGCGATGATGTAAGCGGTATTTGAGGCGACTTCGAGAAGTAGGCATATCTGAAGAGGAATACTGTGGAACGACACGGCAAGTGACTAGGTTCGCATTCACTTTCATCACGGCACAAGACCGCCCTTCACAGACTGCCCGCTATATTGCTGCTTCTGCCGGGCAAAGCCCAAATCTCATCAAGCCTGCTCCAGAGGAGCACCTGAGGCGCACATTCCCAGGCAGAGCATGATCGCGTCTCTATTAAGATAACATCGAAGCAGCCCTCAATGCCTACTCGGCCCCTTAAAATCAATCTGCGTCTTCTAAGCAAGCCATCAGCACCCAAATCACCCGCCTCATCTCAGCAAAACTCACCGTCCTCATCTCCGCAATCCACCGCCACACAAACTGCTTCGCCGGATGGAACACAACCTCAATCGTCTCAGACCTCCCACGACCACTCAACAACCTCCTCTCAAGCGCGTCAGCATACCCACCCGTCCACTGATCGTCCTCCACATCGACCGTATCGCCTTGGAGCGCCTCGGAGTGGAAGATGACGAGGATGCGGTCCGTGGGGCGGACGATGGGTGGGAAGCACGTGCGGGCTTCGATGGCGCCGGTGTCTTTTGGGAAGCTGAACTGCGGATATGTCAACGTGGAAGCATGTGGGGTGGGTTGGGGATAAGTTACGGCGGAAAGCGGCTTATGGTGAGTATCCTCGCCACCGAGATACCGTCCATTATACCTCAGCGTCAACATCGTCGCCCGAAGACCCTCGCGCTCCTCGATCATCTTCTTGATCTGCCAGAGGGTCGTCGATGGACGGACTCGGAAGGTGATGGCCTTTTCCCAGCAATCAGAGTCAGCACCCACCACACACGAGAACTCGAATGTCCTTTCAACGTACCGGCGGCCCCCTCCTCACCATCTGAGCCAACATCCTCACGTGAATGTCGAACGAATCGTCCTCCTTCTCAGACGCATCTTCGATTTCCCTGCGGCCGCTCAGCTGCACACTGACGTTACTGTCGCTGTTCAGCAGGACAGTTGGGTCGCCGCTGATTTCTCGTTCTGCTCGCTCGACAGGGCGGAATGGGAACAATGGTTCCCAGCCAGGACGCTCGGGCGGGCCGCTATCTGGTTCCTGGAGGGCTTGCATTGCTGAAGGGTGGGAGGTCTGCCTTGAGGAAAGGTGAGGTGCGATGAGGTCTGCCTGCTTGTTTGTGAGCGAATTCGAACAAGGTTCATTGTGCGTGTGCCAGCGCCACGGTAAGTGAATGTCTGAATAAGCCTTCACGCACGAGACATCACTGGTCAGGGGCCACTGGTTTTCAATCATGACAGCATAGATATAAGGAACGGGCTAGGAGTTGTTTTTCAAATCTCATTCATTCATCTGATGGCCTCTAAAGCCATACACGCATCGCGGTCGTCGCGAGGGTATCTCAAAGCAATCCGTATGCACACTGTTTGCTCGCATCTCATCGCTCTGCCTCTTCAAGTCGTGGTATCCAGCAGTCAGTCGCATTGATCAATTCCTTCGCCTGAACAGAGGAATCGCCTGCACTCAGGTACCCATTTACCAGTTATTGGCAAAGGTCACCTGCACTTTCTTTCCCAGCACCTCGACGCCGTTGATAGCGTCCTTGACCTGCTTAGCGACGGCGACATCCTTGCTGATGAACTCGACCCCAACATCCTCAAGCTCTTGGCCGAACTCCTGGACTGGCTCGCTGGAGAACTGAAGACGCTGGTAGAATTTCTGCAGGTCCTTGGCGAGTTCCGCCTTGAAGTCGTCGGCGATCTCTGCCGGCAAGCGAGCGAGGCCAAGGCAGTAGGTGGGTTCAGTCGGGGGGAACTCGTCGGTGCCGTAGGGTGGCCAGACAGTGTCGTCGACCTTGGTGACGGGCTGGCAGGCCAGACTGGCGGCCTCGGCCTGCTTCACCTCCTCCATTTCGGCGGCCAGGTGACCACGAGTCTCGCGACGATGTGCCGGCGCCTCGTCCTCGTTGTCGTCTTCTCCCTTCTTGTTGCCCATTTTGGCGATGTTTCTCTCGGCCTGATCCAGCGGGTGCGCGTTGAGGAAAGAGTCAGCACGCTTCTTGCGCTTGGGAGATGCCGCCTTCTTCTTGCGGCCACGAGTGCGGACCTCCTTCTTCTTGTTCGTAGTCTTCTTGGTGGGCTGCGCTGGCTGCTGCTCCTCGGCCGCGAAAGGGTTGCGGGAGCGGTTGTACTCGGCGTTCGACTTCTCGATATCGCCGTACGCACTCATGCACATGTAGCGCCTGCCGACCACGGGGCCCTTGACCAAGCGGTTCTTCTTGAAGTCGGCATAGCCGACTGTTGGGTTACGGCTCATGCTTGCTCGTTTGCTCGTCTGCTCTGCTTGCTGCTGCTGCTGCTATCGCGCCGGGACTCAGGGAGGAGGAAATGCTTGCCTGTGGTGGTCAGAAACTTTTGGTGGAACTGCGCTCCCTTAAATAGTCTCCGCCTCTGGTCGCAATCACGCACTCGAACAGGTGAATGGACTAGTGGTCGCCCAGTGACGTCGCAGACGGCCAGCGACGGCTCTCTCGAGGCGCGCGCGGGTGAGGTGCTGTTCTGAGTCTTCACCCGTCTCTTGAAAACCCACCTGGTCTTGTTGTGTTCAACTTTCACTGTCGTCTTGTCAGCTAGCTCTCCCTTCACACCACTTGATGAATCACATACCTCTCCACCGCAGAAATCTGGAGCAGCATAAACCTGCCGTAGAATCTCTGCCGATGCAAATATGCTGTAGTGTGCGCAAGTCGCCAAGTGCGAGAAGTGCGGTGCGATGTTTTTTGTGTGTTGTGGTTGTCCCAACAACATTGAAGCCTGCCGACAAACAGCCGCAAAAACGGAAGGAGCGACCTCGAAGGGACGACATCTTCGAATTTGGCCTATCCAGCACGTCGGAGTCCTGGCCGAACAATGGACACCTTGTCGCCGACATCTTGCTCGTCGCAAGAGTCCATAAGCAAAGAGTTGCCTTGCCGGGTGCAATCCAGGGGCAAGACGAGCCTCTCCGCGAGATGGACTGGCCGACAAGCAAGAGCTGCTTTCGCTGCAATTGAAGATGGCTCCCCTCGTCCCAAGCTTTCTCGAGATGAGGCCTCGACGTCGATAGTTCTGTTGTCATGAGAGGCCATGCGAGAGTTGACTGTCATTCCAGTGCGCCAGTTTCAGGGGCTGAAGGATCCCTCCACCAGTGAGGCCAGACAGGCTAGCAGCCGCAACTTTTGTACGCACCGTCCTGGAGGGCAACTTGAAAAATGAATAGGCCGAGGTGAGGGAGAACAGCAAGCAGTCGCTGCTCTTGTACACTGCTTTGTCGGTCACCTCCTTCTAGAACGCTCTCATCACCTGCCATCCTTCAGCTTCACATGCCACGCCACCAGAACCAGAACCAGACACATCGAGACGCAAGCAACAGAGAAACCGATGGGAAAGACCCTAAAGCATCAGCAATGGTATCATCGATGAAAAACAAATCTACCTCATAATCCTCGCATGTGTCTTTCCTATCCGTTTCCCTTCCCAGTGACAGACACCCCTGACCGTTGCCCCAGTCCCATACCATTCTTTCGAAATCGTCAGAACCCATCCCATTCCATGCAAAAACGCCTTTCGCTCGCTCACTTGCCATCATCATTTCTGCCGTTTCTATTCGCCCCCGAAACTCTGCCCAAAAACGCCTAACCATGCCGCATGGAGGTTATCATCAAAATCAACGTGATCGAGCCCTCTTCGCACTCGCCGCCTTGGGAACCTCCTCCTCACTGCCATTCCGTGGCGAGAGACTGAGTCGATGGTCCCTTCCGCGGAAAAGATGCATGCCGACGTCTGTCGCCCAGTCTGCGTATCCCGTTCCGGGCTGTCCAGGGAGAGGCAAGCGCATACTTCCCTCGTCGATGAAGCCGGCGTTCTTCATGAGGTCGAAAAAGGCCGCTTCACTGTCGTGTCTGGTCTTAGTCGATACGACGATGACGGCTTTGGGAGAGCGGGTAACTAGCGAGACGAGCATGCCCACCAACGGTTCGAGGGTATCTGTGTTGTAAGTGCACTCTGACACTACGATCAGGTCGTTCGTCCTGGTCTGGAGCTTCTCCGGCAACGGCGCAAGCCAATCCAGGGGTTCAAACCGTACTCTCGACGACATGGCAGGCTTCATGCGCGCGATGTTGGCTTCGACGAGCTCTGTGACTTCTGGTAGATCCGTGAGGAGGATATCACAATCCGGTATCGACTGGGCGATGCTGATGCCGACGGTCCCACATCCAGCGCCAAGCTCGATGACATTCAGCTTGCGGTACGTCGCCGATATCAGAACGTACTCGAACAGGGGTAGGGTGGAAGGATTGTCGAGAGAAATCGTCCGGTCGATGTGCTGTGCGAGGGCTTGACTTCCATCCCAGAGATGCCTGGCTATACTGTCCCCGGCATCCTCCAGCAGCGACACTCGTCTTTCCGAAAGTGATGTGAACCTCCTCTCAACCCTATGCCCCGTCTCGAAACGCCCCTTGGTAGGATTCAGTGTCCCACTCCACACATCCGCGATAGGGGGCAAGAAGCCATAGTTCTTCTGATTCTTCACCGCAACATGGACACACGCCGGGTACTCAATATCCTGTCTCGAAAGATCAAAGACAAGCCCAAGCGATCGAGGACCCGCCTGCCAATGCGCCTTCTTCCTCAGAAATATCTCCCCATCCTCCTCATGTGCGCGCAGCGTGACGACGAGATCGAGCTCGTCCGGGTAGAACGTCTCGCCCAGATCGGTGGTGACGGTTACCACGGCCTTGAGCAGGACGGCGCCCTTGTCGACATGTATCTTGGGCGTCTTTAGAAAGCGAACTGGGCTTTGAGTCAGCAAGCCTCAGGGAATCCTATACCGGCTTCGATCGAAGTACTCACTGTAATGCATGGCTTTCGCGACTCGGTCTTAGCCAGCAGCCACCACCAACAAGAACAGCTCAACGACACAAATCGGAAGAGGCTGATGAGAGAGCCGAGAAGTGTGATTTGAGTAGTAAGAAGCAGTAGGTAGGTAGTAGTGGTTGAAGAAAACAGGCAGCTTACCGCGCGATCGCCCAAGTCAACCACCACCACCACGACCACGCGCACAGCTTCGCCTTGCTAGCTCAGCCTGTGGTCTGGCTCGGTACCTGATACAATCTCCCTCTTTCAGCAGCAGCAGCATGTGTGAAGTGTTCGACGACTCCGGAGCCGCAGCCCGACGGACGACGCAGTTCTAGACCAGTCACAGAGCCACGATCCCCGTCGCACTGTCGACGCAGGGTCGAAGATCGAGACTCGCCCTAACAATCGGCGCGACGAGGGGCGGTCCGCCCCTCGAAACTCTGTGCGATGTGATGCATTTTCGCCGTGTGCAGACGTTTGCGGTTGCAGTGCGTGCCGATCACGGTGTGCGCGCAGGTCGAGGGTTTTGGTGGGAGTCTTTCGATCGCTGCGGCTACTCTACCACCGCGCTTTCTCGCTCATATGCTGGCGCTGAGACGCCTATTATTCATATAGCTAATCTGCCGCACATCCAGTACGCTTTCACACTCCATCGACGATGCCCATTTCTCATGAACACATTCGCTCTTTCTAACCACTCTCGGCCGACGACGTCCAAGCCAGCAGCGCAAACACGACTCCAACAGCAAAAATGACATACCACCCAAACGCATCTATAGCCTCCAACATGAACGCCATGACCGTCAGCGGCATGGGAGTCTTGCGCCGCGGCTGCAGTCTAACCTCCTCCCAAACCTCCTCAATCGACTTCGCGACTCCCCGATCTCGCCGCGACAACATCGCCTTCTTGCCCTCCCCGGTGTGCAGCGATACGCACATCGTCGACGAGTGCCAGCCGTTAGTGAAGGCGTCGACGTGGACTTCATCGTTGGCGTACCGCTCGAGTACCGTCAAGAAGCGCCCGTAATGCGCGAGAACGTCGTATTTGCGACCGACGATGTTCCAGAGGTAAGTGTTGTAGAGGTAGTCGGAGCCCTCGGAGTTGAGGAGGCGGCATACACGTAGGAGGGGGACGGTGACGGGGTGATCGCCCATGATCGATTTGAGACCGTGGCGGGGCTTGCCGTATGCTTGGAGATACATCTGTTTGCCTGCCGGGAAGAGGTGTTGGTAGATGAGGAAGCGGATGTCGTAAGGTAGGTTGAGTAGGTGGGGTTTCGATGTGTTGGTATCCATTTTGCTGGCTGGTGATCGATGAGCGCGAGAAGATGGTGCGTTGATGGTTGTTGGTGTCGAAAGAGCAGTGCGTGAAGAAGCGGCAAAGCGGCCAAACAGTGATCCAAAACTACTGCCTAAATGCAGTATTGAGACACCTATTCAATGCTTGCCGGTTGAATATGCTGCGGATGAGTCGAATGGAAGGGTGCACTTGGAAGCTTGAGAGCGCTCAAGCTGCGCCTTGGGAGGGGCTGGTCTGTGCACAGAGGTATCAAGGCAACATCGAAGTCAGCAGTCAAGAGACACATGTTTCTGAGGACAGCTGTTGATTTCCCCAAAACAAACATTGGAGCTGCCTTGATGGATCTGTTTTGTAATCGCTAATCGACCTTTAGATCTGATCGTCGTTCTTGGAATGGAGAGGGTATGTCCAAGGCAGCGTCTCCCAAGGCGCCCACATCGTCTATCGGGCGTCTCTGCTTTTCAGGACGTTGTAAGACACAGCACCCCATCGTGACCTCGGCGATCGTCCAAGGTATCCTACCCTTGCCAGCGCGGTACACTTCAGCGTTCCTCGCCAACGCATCGTGTAATCTCAATGCCGTCCTACTTGAAAGTCAGCGAACATCCCCAACCAAGAGATAACATCCCCCCAAAAGAAAAACACCCTCAAACTCACCGGAACCCCCGTCGGCTCAAAACTATTCACCAACCGACTCTCATACCTCAAATTCGGATTCCCCTTCCTCTTCCCAAGTACTTCCTTATCCACCCTCTTCGCATACTGCGCCAACTGCCTCGCCGCAAACCTCTTATCCGGCTCGCCTCCACCATTCACCCCATCCTCCCCCTCCTCATCCACCTTCTGCCTCTTCCCCTCCACACTACTCCTCACATACTCCAAATACGGCGGATTCCCCGGCTTAATCACATTATCCGCCGCATACACACTGCCCGGTCCCACCAACTTCAGCTCCTCGCAGAGTTTCAGGTCGGTCGTGTAGGCGGGTTTGTAGTGGTCGAGGAAGAGGAGGTCGATGTGTTGGAGGTCGCCGGTGTGGTGCAGGCGGGCGAGGGATTCGTCGCTGGAGCCGATTTCGACGGTGACGATGTCGGAGAGGCCGGCGAGGGAGACGAGGGCCATGATTACGGCGCCGAATTCGGGGTTGCGTTCGAGCGTGTGGTATTTGCTTCCTCCTGCTCGACGGAGGGCGTCGCCGAAGAGGATGGCGGAGTAGCCTACGTAGCCGCCTAGTTCGACCTGGACATGTAATCAGTCTTGGTGAGGTCATGTTCGTGGGTGCTGGTAATTACCATCGTCTTGGGCTTGACTTCTGCGATCAATTCGGTAACAATCTTCCCCTTGTCCTCTCCCACATTCATGAGATACTTCTTCGTCCGTCCGAATAAATCAATCGCCTCCAGCACTTTCTGCGGCGAACCACGGATTAAATCAATATCTGGGAGGTCGTAAACAAAGTGAAGAAGCTCGATCTCGCGGCCATCGTCGAAGAAGACATCTTCTTGCTCGGCGTACGCCTTTTTCTGATCAAATTCCGGCATTTCTTTTGTAGATGATGCTTTAAAGAACGACAGAAGTGCAAGAAGATTGGAAATGCGAGAGAAAATGGAAATGTGGTAGTGACAATGGTTCTAGTGGTTCTCTTCCTCTTCATGACGTCGGCGATTGAATCACCCACATGCAAGCTCAATGAGCGGCACTTCGTCGGGATTGAATGCGAGAAGAAAGGCTCAAAAGCCGACACTTGCTTTCTTGCATCTTGAGAAGACGTGCTTCTCTTTTCGACATGTTTGGAAGATTGCTTACATGTACCGTCGTCGAGTAGTTCGGAAAATCAGCCTGATTTTACGACAAGCCCTGGACCTAGGACGACCACGAAGCTGCCAGGATTGCAGCTGCTGACTCTTCAGGCACAGACCGATCCCTGAACGCAGCCATACGACATAGCTCTGCGCTCAGATGAATCCAATATCGCGGGTCGTCGAAGCTGCATGAGTCCTGTCATCTCTTTCAAGGCGACCCGAAGCATAACCAAACAGGAGCATTACTTATATGCGAAGCTTGCCATGAATAGTGCCAGGGATGGCGACATCCCTTGAAACGGACTCGAAGCTGGCACCGACTCTTGGACGTTGCAACAAGTGTCAAGACGGACGAGAAGCTTCTTCAAATCGGACGCAAGAAGTGCTATTTCTTCACTTCGCACTGCTGCAGGAGATGCGATGAAGTCATCTCCACTCGACGTTTCGCCGTGCATGTGAGATTTTGGTTCGGCAGGGCGGCCGTTGGAGCCGACGAGCATGTGGCCGGGAGAGATAATCTGGTGGTGACCGGTAGGATTGTCAGATCTGAGTGCCGAACAGAAGGAAGTCAGCGACATCCATGTTTCGTGTCGATGCTTTTCTCCAGTTTGTCCCATGGCTGTGATGGCGCCGTTATGTCTGGAGAAAAACTGGGTCCGATGGTAGGGATGTATCAGACCACGAGGATGCATTGCTGGACATGATAACGGACATGCCTCGGTGGCTCGTGATACTGTTATGATTTTGGAATGGGAGTGCTTTCAAAGGAGTTGTTAGTCGAGGAGGCGCTGTTGATCAGGGATGGAGAACGCTTGGTCTGCTCCTTGTTGGTGGCGGCTGATGAGGCGTGGTTGTGTCGTGCATAAAGTGATCGTGTGTCCGCGTGTCCTTGATTAAATGGAACATTCCTCCAAATTGATCCGGACATGCGCACCACGGTTGAGGCGTGGTTGTTGCAGTCGCCAGAAGCTCTCCTGACCAAGGGTGTGAAGGCTCTTTCGGTGGTCAGGGGCCGGAATTGTTCGAAGGCAGCGCTACTGCTGGCCCTGCATCTCTGCGGGAGACGGAGTCAGTCGACTGCACCGTTCCTGCAGAAGCAGAGTCTACAATTTCAGAAGTACATGTACGGCGGCGCACTTACTCAACCAGTCACGGTGGTTAATGAAGGCAATGTTGGGTCCTCGGAGTGAAATGGAGGGCGATATGGATTGGCTCTCAATCGCGGGCTGATGGAGGCTGGCGGGGCAGGCAATGAAGAGCTCTGCCAATGGAGGAGCGTTTCACACGGCATCACCAACAACCCTGCACACCACCCACAACGAGGCGCAGGACGCACTGCAACGCTGTACAGACTGAGGGTGAAAGAGTGGTACTGGTACTGTAGACGGCTGTCTGCACAACAGAAAAGCTTCCATCGGTTCTCTGGCAAGAACAAGAACAGCAGCGGGATTTCCTGCGGTTCCTGTTTCGAGGCGTGTGGGCGGGACTCGGTAGGCGTGGGCCGAGAGTTAATCACGGCACGGCAATCCTGGCGCGGATCGTTGCGAGGCGCGTGTGCCGTCGAGAAACGTGGAGACGTTGGCGGTGGAGGCGGCGGTGGCAGGATGCGGTGCTCGGGTGTTGCGATGGATATGGACAGCAAGGGAGGGCAGCTGAAGACCAGTGTACAGAGGGAGGACGTCGACGAAGGTGGATTCCATTTGATTGACATTGATTGAGATTGCTTTCAGTCTTTAGCAGTATCAAGCTTCGTGCTAGGGTGCAGTAGAGGCCGTGCCGCTGCAGGCACTAGCCCGACTATCACACTCAAACCACTCCTGAACAGAAGGACGGGTGCCGCCCGTCTGGGACCGCCATCACCACCACCAGACACGTTCTCTGGTTCCGCGTGCATCATTCTTCCTGCAGCGCCCACATTCATCCACGCACCGCTGCATATCCAGACACGCGCGCAGGACAACACCTCCATCGCCGCCGCTATACCACCACCGCCCTCCCATCCGAGGCCTAGGTACACCGGGATCCCCTTCTTCGCCCGCCGTCCACCGCCGACCAGCATCCGCCCGCGCTTGTGCCTCGCCCAGCTGCGTCTGGAGACTGCCTCGACTGCGCATCCCTGCACGCTGCACTGACACTCACTTCGGCATCTTGCAGCGCTCGTCGGCGGCCAACCCCCATCCGCCCTCGCTCCACCACCAAGTTCGACTCCCGCTGCTGCTGCCACTCCTGCGCTGCAGCACCCGCCTGTGACGGTGACGCAGCAGCCCGGCCGCATGGAGCGGTGCGCGATTTCATGACAAGAGACACCAGTACCGCCGCCGCCGCCGTCGCCCACACCGCTGGAGAGCAGCAGGCGTAGGGCTCGCGGATCGCTGCAGCAGTTGGAACCGACTGTCGCTGCCCGTCTGAGCATCTCCAGATCGCTATATACCCACCATGGCGTCCGCAAGCCACCTGCCACGCACCCCGCGACCACCGCCCACCGGCCCATTGCCAGCGCTGCCCGTCGCCAAAACTCGCAAGTTGTCCGGCGACAGCATCGCTTCGAGCACCACTCCCGCTTCGCGGCGCACTTCGACCGCATCCCAAATCCCCCCACCGTCCTCCAAGAAGACGTCCATTCCCTCTCGATCAGTCACTCTCTCCGGCCTGCCCACGCCGCGCCAGCCGACCAAGGCCAACTCCACTCCCGCAGTCCCCACGCTACACGCAAATGAACAGCCGCCCGCTCCTTCACCATCTCCACCTGTCGGCACAGGCATACCGAAGACGGTGCGCAAGACCACTAGTATTGGTTCTTTCCCGCTTCCACCAAAGGCCGCAGCACGAGTCACCAGCTTGCCGCCAAGTCCACTCTCTACTTCCACATCGTCGAACGAGCCCAACGCAGCTCAACCACAACCGAGGCAGAAGCGCGATGCCTCGAAGCATAGAAGCGCAGACACTGGGCTTAAGAAGCCCAAGACCCGCAGCTCTGGGTATGGACTGCGCGCAAGAGGGTCGATACCGAGCTCAGGCCTGGGAGGTTCGCCCAGCCTGCTCAACGGCACAGGCGAAAGTGCCATGATTGCAGGAGGAGGCAGTGTGAGGCAATCAGACAGCTTGCTCAGCCTGCCATCTCCACCGCAAAGCAGGAGTTCATCAGCAGAAGGATCATATCAGACAGACAACACCGCATTTGAAGATGGGGCCGATGACCAGCGACGAGGGCGATCACGAAACAATGACAAGACTTCGGATTCCAAGCGCGATTCTGGAGGGAAAGACGCCAAGGGCAACGTTCTTGTCAGTGTTCGTGTGCGTCCTGACGCTGGGAACGATGGCAGTAAACCCGAGGGAGAATGGATGGTTGACGGCAGACGCTCTCTTATATCCTACAGAGGACGCGAAGGCGGCGACTACCGATACGACAACGTATTTTCACCTCACGATAACAACTCACGAGTCTACGACAATGCAGCCAAACGACTAGTGCGGCGAGTCATGGAAGGCTATCACGGCACCGTCTTCGCCTATGGTATGACGGGCACCGGAAAGACCTTCTCCATGCAAGGAACCGCAAACTCACCGGGTGTCATCCCTCTCGCCATTACTGACATCTTCTCCTACATCCGCGAGAACCCCAGCAGAGAATTCCTTTTACGTGTTAGCTACTTGGAGATTTACAATGAAAAGATATACGACCTACTCAGTCAGAGCACGCCTGGCGTGCAACAGGAAGAGATTAAACTTCGGGAGGATAGCAAGCGTGGCGTTTATGCGACTCCACTCAAGGAAGAGATAGTGCAGTCCCCGAATCAGCTGTTGCGAGTCATTGCGCGTGGTGACCTGGCCAGGAGGACAGGAAGCACACAGTTTAACGCGCGCTCTTCTCGGTCACACGCCGTTGTTCAGATCGTCGTCGAGTCGAGAGAGCGAACGCAGAACCACGGCGCTTACTTCGAAAAGGAGACTCGCAGGACGGACAAGATCATGCCAGGTGGCGTGCTGGTCTCAACTTTGTCTTTGATTGATCTCGCTGGATCTGAGAAGGCGGCCGACAATAAAGAGCGTCGAACGGAAGGTGCCCACATCAACAAGTCTCTCCTCACTCTGGGAACGGTCATTGGGAAGTTGTCAGGTGACGACGACAAGGATGAGAAGGAGGGCGCTAAAAGTGCTGCAGACAAGGAGAAGGGTTTGAAGCATTTGCCTTATCGTGACAGCAAGCTCACGAGGTTGCTGCAGCCAGCACTTTCAGGAAACTCGCTGGTGTCGATTCTTTGCACGATCCAATTGTCCTCTGCAGGAACAAGTGCAGCGCACGCCAATACTCATACTGGCGAGACTCTCAACACGCTCAAATTTGCGAGTCGAGCCAAGAACAACATCGTCAGTCACGCCAAGCGCAACGAATCGAATCCGAATCCAGGTGATCCCAACAGTCGAGCTCTTTTGGACAGGTATCGGTTGGAGATCCAGGACTTGCGAACTCAGCTCGAGCAGCAGAACAAGGCCAAGGAAGAAGCCGAGCAGCAGGAGCAGATTGAAAAGGACCGCAAGATGGAGGAGGAATTGGAGCGGCAGGAAAAGACCAGGCATGAGGAGCAGATGCTGGAGATGCAGCTTGCTCGCACTGCCTTGAAGGAACGAATCAGCCATTTGAATCGTTTGATCTTGTCCTCGAAGTCGCTTGGAGTCAACTCTGGCCGGTTTTCGAGCTCCAGCTTGCCTTTCAACCCTCGAATGAGCATATACAGCATTTCGCAATCGGAATACGGGCGGCCAGTCAGTGTCCGAAGTCGCGAGAGCATGGCCAACAGGGACAGCACAATGACACTCGAGGTGCCATCTCCAGACGAGGATCGCCAGAGGACGATGTCGAGCGGATCCATCACCATGGGCACCTTCCCAGCCGTGCAGGTCTCTCACATGATCACCGAGGACGAGACTGTCATGGAGGAGGAAGAGGATGGCCAAGGATCCGGAGATATCGATGCTGAAGGCAATGCTAGCATGTCGCAACAGAATCGGATGCTGCAGGCAGATCTGGCCGATAAGAACCGGTACATCGCGACTTTGGAGAAGCGTCTCTTGCAAGCGCGGCGGACGAGCCACAGCCGTGTGAGCATGCACTTTGCATCCCGCGTTGGTCTGCCAGAGGAAGGGAGCTTGGAGGGTCTCCTTCGGGAAAAGGACCGTGAGATCGAGGAGCTGAAGATCAAGCTGGACGACCAGATGCGGATGGTGACTGCACTTAGGAGTGCGGCACGTAAACGTGAGATGGTCGACAAAAGGAAGAGCCATGCAACGACGACCAGCGAGGAGACGGCTCGACCAGCAACATCCAATGGGTTGGTCGACACCGTTCCAGATCTTTCATCCATGCCCTTCAAGAGGCAGAATAGCTCCCGGACGTCCAGGCACAGCTCTCATTCGCGAAACGGCGGCCGATTCAGCGGCGAGAACCACCGCAGCACTCCCTCAACGGCCAGTCGATCCAGCTCCGGTGTGGTCAACTTCTCCAAGACTCCGTTGAGTCCGATGGCGATCCTGAGTCCGACTCATTCTTCCAGCAACTCCCGTGACTCGATCAACAAGGAGGGCTTCACCACCGTCGCGAACCGGCGCAAGAGTGTCGACGAAATGACCCAGCTGCTCGACCAGATGATCCAGGACAAAGTGGAAAGCGGACATGTCGTGCGCGGCGAGCGAGGCTCCTTAAGAGTGCGACACGACACCGTGCTAGCTCAAATCAACGACGCCACGGGGACCCAACACGAAGACGGCCCCATCCCTCCCGGACAGCATATCCCCAGCGAAGAACTCAAGGCTGCATGGTGAAATGACTGTGACTGGCCGTTTATGAATTTGTCGAGGTCTGGAGATGTGCGGATCGCGGGCTGATTGGGCCGCAGAGCGTTGTGCGTTGCGTTGTGCGATGGGGTAGCGCCCCTTGCATGTATGCAGCTAAGCATGGTTCATGGATTCACGGGCGACGAAGTTTTTTGTCATCACCACCACCACAGCCGCGATGCGCTGATTTTGAACGACTCGGATTCTTTCTTCGTTTCTCTCTTTTCAGCGAGCGGCACCAGCGAGCGAGCGAGCGAGTCCTCACCACCATCCACGGAGGTTGTTTTCTTTTCTTTGCAGGGCGTTTTTGGGAAATACTGCACCTCGATCACAGTTCATCACCTTTGGACTTGATCTTCGTTTTTTTTTTCGGATACGACGAATCACACGGCACACCCACCACCGGCGGTGTATCTCCTTGATTTTTTTGTTTTGGTCTTTTTTGGACTGCTTCGAATCCCGCGCGCGGCGGATTGATACCCTCTTCTGCGAAGGTAGCGGAAAATAACACCACCATCATCGTCATCAACATCATCCCATTGCTTCTTGGCTTCTTGTGTACAATTGTTTTGGAGGTTCTCGGAATTTGAAGGTTTCTGTTGGCGGGTTTTTTTGGAGAGTATTAGTATTAGTAGTATCAGCGACAACTGTAGTATATAGAGATGAGGAATGGGAATGGAATGTGAGAGATGTTTGAGATCAGATGAGAACATGAGGTTCTTCTTCTTCTTTTTGCTTTTTGGGGTGAGGACGATCGGAGTGTTCGGAGAGGCGTATCGCCTGTATAGCCGCCGTACTATGCTTGAGTGTGATGGTCTTGCCGGCGGCTGTATTAAGGAGGTATGGACGTAGACGCGCGCTAGTGGGGAGGATGATGATGCTGGCGGTTGCGTACAGGTACCGGTAGATTTTCTTTCACTCTTCCATGACTTCACCTCACACGCCCACAGCACAATCCCTTCCTCAGACGTAGAACATATGGTATTCCCAACAATGAATCCATGATGTCGGACAGTCTACATATATTCGGGCACTCCGACTCCTTGGAATTTCATCGAAAGTTGGAAATGTAGGCATGGGGTGATGTCTCTCCATGATCGCTTCTGCTTCTTCTGGAATGTAGACAGATCTAAAGATACGTGTTCCGTGCATGGGGACCAAAGACGAACAAACGCTGTCGTTGTTGCTGCTGTTCTGTCGTCATTGCTACGATAGAGCACTTATGAATTGAATCACATGTCAAATCAAAGCAAAAACATCCAGCTTTCTTCCTTTCTTAGCACTTCTCTCTCGAAACACCACCACCACCATCAAAACATCGCCACACCATGGCGCCCCCAACCACCACGACGACGACAACAACACAACACTCCTTCCAAACCCTCGCCCCCACCCGCCACATCTCGCGCATGACCCGCCACAAACAAGAGCACAACCAACTCGGCATCGCCCTCTCCGAACTCTTCCTCGGGATCGCCATCGAAGCGCATTCCAGCAACAACACCCAACTCGACGTCGGCTTCGCCTGCCACGACGGAACGTACAATATCGATTTCGCCGTGGAGACGCTCGAGGCCGTGCAGGATGCCGAGTCGATCGCGGAGCATATCATCGCGTCGATTAAGGAGTATGAGGGGAGGAACATGTACAAGTTCACGGGGGCCGGGTTGAGTCAGGAGGTCGTGGCGAGGAGTCCGCAGACCCCTGTGAGGTTGTGGTTGGAGCTGGATATCGTGCCTATCGTGGTGAAGGCCGAAGAGGGGGGTTGTTTGGAGACGGCGAAGAAGATGAATGGTGTGTTGGCAGTGGATGAGATGGCGGATTCGTTGGCGCGGAAGTGTTTGATGTGGTTTGGTCCGAGTTATCAGCCGCGTTTGAGTGTTGGGTTCAGTAACAAGGTGGAGGTGGATTTGGGGGCGAGGGCGTGGTTGGCGAGTCTTGAGGAGTATCAGAGGACGGTGAATGAGGCGACGTGGAATTCGGCCGTGAAGTATGCGGGTTCGTTGAAGGAGGGGGGGACGAAGATTGCGTTCTTCAGTGCGACGCCGCAGGGAGGTGGTGTTGCGTTGATGAGGCATGCTCTGATTCGGTTTTTGAGGCTGTTGGGAGTGGACTGCACTTGGTGGGTGCTGAAGTCTAAGCCGGAGGTGTTCAGGATCACCAAGACCAACCACAATATCTTGCAAGTTGTTGCAGCGCCGGATGAGCGATTGTCGGATGAGCAGGCGGCCACGATCAACGACTGGGTGCAGACCAACGCCGAGCGCTTCTGGACGAGAGACGGAGGTATCTTGCAGCCTCGTTCAAAAGGTGGCGCGGACGTGATCATCGTGGACGAGCCGCAAATGCCCAACATCATCGACATCTCGAAGAAGCTTGACCCAGACAGGCCAGTCATCTTCCGGTCGCACATCCAGATTCGTGCCGACCTGGCCAACACTGCTGGCACGCCAACTGCTGGAGTCTGGAAGTGGCTGTGGTCGAGTGCACAGCAAGCGGACCTCTTCATCGCACACCCAGTCAGCGATTTCGTGCCAAAGGATGTCCCAAAGCAGAAGCTGGGATACATGCCAGCAACGACGGGCTGGATAGACGGCTTGAACAAGGAGCTTCGCGACTTCGTCACCGAGTACTACCTGCATCAGTTCAATACGGAGTGTCTCCGTCAGCGGATGGTCACTCTGCAATACCCAAAGAGAGACTACATCGTGCAAATTGCTCGATTCGACCCATCGAAGGGCATCCCGCATGTGCTGGCAGGCTACGCTGAATTCCGGCGCAATTCTCGGTACTGCAAAGACAAGAACAAGGACGAGGCACCTCAGTTAGTCGTGGCTGGACACTACTCGGTCGACGATCCTGATGGCGTCCGTGTGTTGAACGAGACGCTGGAACAGCTGGACCACGAATACAGCGACATCAAGGATAGCGTTGTGGTCATGCGATTGGGACCGACAGATCAACTCCTCAACATGCTCATGTCCAACGCTCGCGTGGCACTCCAGCTGTCAACTCGCGAGGGCTTCGAAGTCAAGGTCTCAGAGGCACTGCACAAAGGTGTTCCGATCATCGCCAGTCTCGCGGGTGGGATTCCTCTGCAAGTCATGCACGACAAGTCCGGATTCCTGGTCGAAGCAGACAAGTACCTCGACGTGGCGAAGTACATGGACGTGCTATTCAGCGACGAGGAGAAGTACAAGAGCATGAGCGAGTATGCAGCATCGCACGTCAGTGACGAGGTGGGAACGGTAGGCAACGCGGTCAACTGGATGTACCTCGCCGACCAACTTGCTCAAGGCAAGAAGCTTCAGCCATCAGGAAAGTGGATCTGGGACATGGCCAGAGACCAGGTGGACGAGCAGAAGATGAAGGGCGAGGTGCGACTGCCGCGGGACCGGACGACTTGATGGTCTGAAGCAGCAGCCGTGATTGCAGAGACGCAGGACTCTGTCGCTCTGCAACAGGCGGGTGATGGTGGTCGTTTCAAGGGCCGTCCAATGTAGCACTGCGACTATTGGTCTGTCTTCTTCAAACTGCGATGATGCAGCGAGGGCCGGATATGGCTTCGGGAGGAGTCGCTGACAGGTCCAGATCCAAGGCCTTGGGATTTGAAAGCGTAGCAGGCAGTGGTACTGTCAATATACATGTTCAACATCTTTTCATTAATACTCACCATTCCCTCTCAAACAGACCAGGGTGGCAAGCAGGTCGTACTGCCCACATGACCATCCATTCAAACGTAATACTCTCCCCCTTCAAACACCCCGTACCGCATCCGAAGTCGACGGGTGATGGACCCCCGAAAACCCCTGCTCAAGTTCAGCTGATGACGTTCGACGATTGCCGTCGCGTGCATACCGCAAGTCGGCGATTCCGAGTCAACAGCTCTCTCCTCCTCTCCTGTCTCACCCTCCATGTTCGTGTTGACGTGAGGTCGGAGAAGGAGAAGGAAGGAAGGAGCTCTGTTTAAACTTCGCCTGGCTCGTCGGCTCCGAGGGAGGAGGCCGGGCCGATCTTGCTGCTCGTGTTCACTCTGAGACGATGGATCGACGTGCAGGAAGAACACGAACACAGCAACAGCAGCAGCATTGGTAGTTGAACAAGTAGGAGGAAGAGGAATCATCACATGCTCGAATTGATTGAAATATTGATGAAGGCAGTCTAGACCTCCCTCGCCGGCGTCTAGAAAGAATAGATTGAATCCTTCGTGACGAGATCAAACGGTCCAAGCTCGCCCCAAACGCTAGCTCCTCGGGATGGCTTGGTTTCAGGTCGACGAGCCGACGCAACTCCACCTCCGTCTTGCTGCTTCACGGCTCACTGGACGCACGCCGCGTTTGGTGTGCGTCGGATCGCCGTCTCACCAGCCCGCCGGCATACATGATGCACATGGTGCACGGCGGCAACAGGTAGAGCGAGAGAGCTGGTCGGGAGGAGGTCGCCTAGGAAGAGGGATCGTTCGTGGTACAACTTCTTCTCCTCCTCTTCCTCCACTTCCTCATGACGATGATGTGCTGCTCGTGTGTCTACAATCGCTGTCGTTGATGATTTCATCCTGAGCACGGAGCTGGTCTCTGCTTCTTCTTCTCACTTCTCTTCCTGGGCGATAGTGATCATCCGCCGAACATCTTCCTGCATGACCAGTACGAGGGCTGTCGTCAGCTACTTCTGCGAGTGAGAGAGCTCTCAACCACACTTTTCACCACTCTGGCTGGCTTGCTTGCGCCTTTTTTTCTATTTTCGAAGCTTGCCAGGTGCAGCGCAGGCCCGGTTCCTGCACGATTACTCCGATTTCTTGGTTCTGGGCTTCATCCTCCATCTTGGCTGGATTGCTTGCCTACCGACAAACGAAACGTACAAACGACTTGTTTCCAATTCCTCCGTTCCACCAAACCCCAATGGCTACGACTTTCGGACTTGACCGGTGACGACTCTTGCACATACTCTGTTTGATTGAATTGAAGCGAACGGGAACGACGTAGGAAGGAACGTGGTCGTGAATGTGGAAGGAGTCGCTGGCCAAAATGCGGGACCGCCGGAATACCAATCTGTCGGTGTCGTCCACGGACTCTTCGACATCGACGACTTCGAGGTCATCGAGAAATAGTCTCAATGAGAAGCGACATTCGAGTCCCCCGCCGCCTTCGCCTACACTCCCCGCACCGGTGACGAAAGAGAACAGGCCGAGATCGCTGTCGCCGAAGGTGATGGCGATGAGGACAGTGGCGGTCATTTGTGTGGTGCTGTTGCTTTGGCGGTGTATGTTGGGTTGGTTGATGGTGCCGTCGATCCTGTCGGGATCAATTGGGGAAGGTGTGGATGAGAGTACGGAGTTGGTCGCGGGCAATGATCTTCCAAGTGAACCGACGGCTTTCATGGTCGATGTGGGTGGATCTTCGAAGTGGACCGTCTCGATACCGCATAACCACAGCTTCCCTCTAGAACCGAAGACCTATCGTGATATCTGCTCCCACGGCATGGGTCTTCAAGCAACCCTCACTCCAAAGAACCGATATCACCACACGAAACACTGGTTGCGGAAAGGCGCAGGCGACTACTACACCAAAGACGACACCTTCCTTGACATCGATGACGCTGAGAATGCTGGTATCTTGCCCAAACGCAAGCGCGAGAAGTTGTCGAACGTCTGTCCCACAAGCCTGACGTTCGTCCTCGAGTCAGATGAAGCCAGCTTCGGCAAGACCCTTCTTCACCTCTGGATGAGCTATGGCCTCGCCAAGCACGAAGGCAGAGCGTTCTTCATTGATGATTCACGGTGGGCATGGGGGAAGTACGCCTCCTACTTCGCAAAACCTCCCAAGCCGAAATGCTCCCCGCCACCTGCTCATCACATCGTCCCTTGCCCTCACAGCGCCAAGCATATTATCGTCTCGGCCGCCACAGCTCCATGGACATTTGGCCCGCTCTTCCACAGAGAGTTCTTCCAATCTCGAAAGCATCCCCGAATCTACGACCTCTTGAGAACTGGATACGAGAACCTCTTCACCCTCATCGGCGAAGACTCCCTCTACGCCGCCGCCCGCATCGCCAAGCTCAAAGAAGACGCCGCCATGAACGACAACATGATCCTCGGCATGCAAATCCGCCGCGGTGACCTCCACCCTCTCGAATTCCAATACAGTAGGGACTACCTCCCCCTCTCGCGCTACGGCGAAGGCGCCCTCACCCTCCTCAACACCCACCACCACGCAACGACTAAAGACATCACCAAATCCTCCATCATCCTCGCCTCAGACGATCCGGTAATCATCAACTCCCCCGAACTCCAACAATCCGCTTCTGGACTCACGATCCAACGCGCTCAGGAGCGGATCCAACTCGCCACCAAGACGACTCTGGACCAGCAGAACCCCGTCGAGGACCTCCGCGAACCAGGCTCAGCTTACGTGAAACATATCGACGAGAACTCAGGCTGGGAGGGAGGGTTCTACAGTGCGTTGTTCCTTTCACTCGGTGGGGCCAGGAGGACTCACGAGGGAGAGATATCTCCGCAGGCGCTGAGGTTGCGCGAGTTGGTCGGCAGGGCGTATCTACTCGATCTCGCGGTGTTGGGGGAGAGCGATGGGGTGGTCTGTGCTGTCAGCAGCGCGACGTGTCGGGTTTTGGGCGTGATGTTGGGGCAGGATGCGTTGAAGGAGAGGCGGTGGATGAATGTTGATGATGGGAGGGCGTGGAGTTGGGATGGGCGGAAATGAGCTCGAGAGCAGTTTGATGCTTGCACAGATGTCTTTTGGTTCGTGGTGGGAATTAGCATAGTATGGTCATTGTCATGGCATAGCGCTTGGCGTCACTCAGTCGTTTAGCAAGATACCCTCTCATAGTCATAAATAAGGACTTCCTTTTTGAAACGATGAAACCCATCGACGCCTTTATTCAAATCTTGTTCTTCACCCTACCACGACTTCCACAACGCAGGTAACCTTTCACTGGCATCTTTGCTAATACACATCATCCCATCCACCTCCTTGATGCCCTCCAGTCCCGTCAACCCCAGCGCCGCAAGCCCCAAACAGCTATGATACAAATCTGGCAAATCTCCCGGGAACTTCCCAAAGCCGCCCAAAGCGGGATGTTGCGTTTTATCAAGTAAGTACTTCTGCAGCGCGGAGTGGTCCCAGAGATTCGGTTGTTGCAGGATGGAAAACGACGCGCAGACCCACCAGGCGTAGCAGGTGTCGGCGACTTTGTTGGTGCGGCCGTTCATGCCTGCTGCGTCGAGGGGGGTTGGTTCGAGGCCGAAGGGGCTGAGGAGGGTGGTTTTGTCGGGGCTTTGGTGGAGGGGTGGGGTTGATTGGGAGGTTGTGGTGGGCTTGGGGGCTTGTTCGTGGGTTTGTGAGACTGGGTCGTTGTCTGCTTCTTCGAGTTCGGCGTCGGGGTCGGAGAGGTCGGTTTGGCGTTCGGTGAGCCACCGTAGAGTCATATGAGGATCTCTAGGTGCTGTGGGTTGCGAATGGGATGTATCTCCGTCGGGAGTGCGTAGGCGGTTGACAAATTTGAGACAGCCCAGTGAACAAAACGTGTAGCCAGCATGAGGTTCGTGAAACGGTTCGTCGGCTATCCCACCGTCGTAGGACTCTGCGAGGGAGATGCAGCCGACAAGCTTGTTAATGTCAATATCTTGTACGCTGGTACCATCGATATTGAGGGTTCCCTCGCTGTCGCCCCGGAGGATGTATCGGACTCCTGCAGCACAATACCCGAATCGTGGATCCCGCCCACCTTCGATCTGTCCATTTACGAGCGTCTCGCCAAAGGAACCGTCGGGTCGTTGCATTTTGACGAGCCACTGTAATGCCCCTTTCCGTTTCACCCTCGTCAAATCATCGCCAATCGCCAGGAGTGCTGCAAGAGCAAAGTAAGTGGCAGGCACATTTGCGGGATCCCACTTCGCATTCGCTTCGCTGGCCCTCTCGTCGAAGTTGGTCCCCGGCCACATTCGAAAGCCGCCATTCGGATGTTGACAATGGTAGATCCAGTCTACGTACTCTTTCTTTTCGCTCTCCTTTGCGACCGTGCTCCAGGCGTCCAGTATATCGAGGGCAGAGATGATCATAAAAGCCAGGTACATGCGGTTGGACTCATTTCCGGTGTAGTGGTGAGGTAGGAGCGTCTTCAAGCATCGCGTCCAGTACTTCACATGCCGAGCCTGGCGGTGACATGTGGTTAGCTAAACAGCTTCGTCGTCATGAGATTATTTCCCTCACCTTGTCCAGGCGAGGCTCGTGAGATTCCTCAGCTGATTGCATTGCTCAGTTCAGAGCCCTAGTACAGGATCCAAGAGATGTGCTGAAAGCAAACACTGACTGTAGCCAACGCCAGACGCCATGCGGATTGGCAGACAGTTGAGCACTGTGTGATATTGCCACACTGCAGAGACACGGAGAACGAAGAGCGAAGTTGAGGACAACACCTTTAGGGTTTCGCTAGATTTTAGCCGCGAGACTAGCGTCAAACTCTAAACTCTTATCGATATCCAAAGAGGCAGCCTCGACTCCCCACGCGCTACGCTGATGAGTGCATCTCCTTCTTCCCCCCAACCACCTCGCCACAGCAGACATCCTCACCACATCGATATGGCGCCTCGCAAAGAACACGCATTCGCGACGGTGCTCTCCGCGCAGGTGCGGTCGAGTGATGAACAGTCGATATTGGTCGAGGCCGGTGGCGTCACTCCTATGCGCTGGTTCCTCGAGCACGGCCAGCCAGATACCGAAGGCCCACCCAAGAAACGACGAAGGCTGCAAGACAACAAGAGAGAGGCTCAGACCCAGGACGACCACCCAAAGAATGAGGAGATTCCGCTGTTCGAGGCATCGATCGATTTCCACTTTCCAGAGACGCTCAAGGCCAAGTCGCCATCGAAACGAGCATTAGAGGATGACATCAGTTTCGAGGAGACGGCTGCCCTTCCGGTCGTGGTGTACGGAGTCGAGTCAGATGTCACTGCGACAAAGTTGCGTCTCGCTCTTCACAAAGTGAATGGACCTGTGCTCGTCTTGGAGTCCCAAGAGGTTTCCGACGAAGTGCTTGGACTGCTGAGAACGATTGCCCTTCCAGGCCAGCTGAAAGCCGCAATATCCAACAAACGAGTCAAAGAGAGTCCGGCATCTTTGATCTCTTGTACTCTGACACGATCCGTCGGCGATCTCTATACGGTCTTTCGTCTGCAGGCCTCGCTGCGATGGCGTTCTGGATCTTCGGCATTCGTAGCAGGCGCTCCTGTCGGCGCAGCCAAAATCTACCCTGATTATGACTTGCTACTTCAAGCATTCCCAGATCATGTCCGAGACGCTGTGAATCATAGCCAGCCATGGACGCCGCAAGACTTCTACGAAAGTGTTCACGCGCCTTCCAGAGACGTGGACGTTGAAGGCAAATACGACAACGTTCTGGAGAGTGAACTCTATCCTTTTCAGAAAAGGGCGATCTCCTGGATGCTGGGTAGAGAGGGCGCTGAGCCGTGGATACAGGAATCGCCAAGATTCTACAAGAAGGTCAACGATGCTGATGGTCGCGAATGCTTTGTCAATCACCTGCAAGGCATTGTGACCCGCGAGCCTCCAGATGACGAGGCGAAAGTATCAGGAGGTTTGCTAGCAGAAGAGATGGGATTGGGCAAGACGGTCGAGATTCTGGCATTGCTGTCGCTCCATCGGCGGACGCACACATCTTCTGATGAAGTATTTGACGGCGACTCCGAGACCATGGTCAAGCCATCAAGAGCCACTCTCATCATCACTCCACCCAGCATATTGCAGCAATGGAAGTCGGAGCTCAATCGACATGCGCCTAATCTGAAGGTCCATCACTATCAAGGCATTCCGAAGGCATACAGAAAGGGATATTCGGAGGCAGATCTTATCCAAGATCTTGCAACGAAGTACGACGTGGTCCTCACGACTTACGGCGTTCTTGGTGCAGAGATCCACTTTGCCGAAGATCCACCTGATCGGAATATGCGACATGCGCCCAAATTCGAGCGGAAGAAGAGCCCACTCATCCAACTGCAGTGGTGGCGCATTTGCTTGGATGAGGCACAGATGGTCGATACAGGCGTGACTGCGGCAGCTCGTGTTGCTTGCCGCTTGCCGCGGGTACACAGCTGGGCAGTATCTGGAACGCCTCTGCGCAAAAACGTCGAGGATCTCCACGGTCTTCTAATCTTCCTTCGATTCAAACCGCTCAGTCTGAGTTCGAAACTCTGGGGCCACTTGGTGACAAACCACAAGCATCTCTTCAAAGGCATTTTTGGAAACATAGCCTTGCGACATACAAAGGCGCTCATTCGCGATGAGCTGCGCTTGCCTCCGCAGAAGCGAGTCGTCATCTCATGCCCATTCTCTGTGGTAGAGCAACAGAACTACGCCACACTATTCGACCAGATGTGCGAGGAGGTTGGCCTGAACGCAGACGGCTCCCCTAGACACGATGATTGGGAGCCGAGTCAGCAGACGGAGCGAATGCGCCGATGGCTGAGTCGTCTTCGTCAGACCTGCTTACATCCTCAAGTTGGTGCCAAGAATCGCAAGGCGCCTGGTGGTCGCGCAGGCCCTTTGCGGACCGTAGCCGAGGTTCTGGCGCAAATGATCGAGCAGAACGAGACAGACCTCAGGACGAGAGAGCGAGAAGCTCTCTCGGCCTCTCTTAAGAGAGCACACATCATAGGCAATAATGGCGAAGATCAACATCGAAGCGAGAAAGCGTTGAAGTTGTATGAAGAGGCTATGATATCCTCGGAGCATATGGTCAAAGAGGCGAGAGAGCACCTGGCCGCCGCGAAGACAGTCGCAACCGAGAAAGGCGAGGCTACTGTCGACACCGACGACGAAGACTCGTCATCTGAGTCCACCCCGGTTTTAGGTCGACTACGCAACGCCCTTCGAGTCGCCTTGAACTTGCATCACGTGAGCCTCTTCTTCACTGCCACGGCCTACCACCAGATCAAGTCAAACGAAGCTTTGACGGAAGAGGGTTCAGATGCTTTTAAGAAGCTGGAGGCGAACGAGACAGATCTATACGAGCGTGCAAAGATTCTTCGAAAGGAAATCATGAGTGCCACTGCAAGGAAAGCTGAAGGACTCATGCGTCAAGTCAAAGACGTGGGGGACAACAAGACGGCCACCAAGATACCCAAGATCAAAGACCTCCAGAGCTTTGGCGGCATCGAAAGCAGGAAGATCGTGGAGAAGGCTGACGAGCTCTTCGACGAAATCCGAACGCAGGTATCCACAATCAAGCAATGGCGAGCAGACATGGTCAAGTACTTGGTGAAGCCACTCGTGGACGAGGAAGGAGACGGAATCGAGACTACTGGAGATGAGTACGAAGACTCAACAAAGCAGCAGGACGAGCTTTACGTCTACTTCGATGCCATGAAGTCCGTATACGCGGATCTCAACACCTACATCACAGGCGAGAGCGCTCCATTGGTTGACCATGAGGTCAAGATGCTTGTCAAAGGTGCGAAGATGTTCTTGGATCCAGACGTCGCCGAAGAACACAAGCCGCAAGGCGTTCATGCGCCCGAGCTGTTATTGAAGCTTATCTCTTCTCGAGTGCAGGACTCTTATAGGAAGCGCAGGACACAGCTTGGTTCTGTCCGCAGCCTCATTCAAGAAGCTCGAACACTAGAATCGGCAATGGAGTGGAGTGGGTCAGGTTCTCGAGCGGCCGCAGAGCATGCGCTCGTGAAGCAGCATTTGGACGCATTGAACGGTGTCTTTTCTTCCTACACGAAGGCTCTCAATGGCCTCGAGAAGGAGATTGATCTTTTCCGTGTCACTCAAAACCAGCGAGTCGAGTTCTATCGCCAGCTCCAGGAGCTCTCCGACGATGTGGCACCTTACAAAGAAGAGCACGACCCACAACTCGACCATCTCGCCCTAGGGCTTGTCGTAAATGACGAGGATCACGCCAACAACCACTTGGCTCAACTGCGCACCAAGCATCGCTTTCTCCTCCATCTCAGAGACGAGAACGGTGCTGAAACCGAGAGCAAGATATGCGTCATCTGCAGAGACAACTTCGAACATGGAGTTCTCACTGTTTGTGGTCATCAGTTCTGCAAAGACTGCATAACGCATTGGTTCGCCCAATCGAAGCTCTGCCCCATGTGCAAACGACAGTTGACGAAGAACGACGTGCATGATATAGCATTCAAGCCGCAAGAGCTTCGTGCACAGGAGGAAGCCCAATCTTCAGACTCCTCGTCTTCTCGCAACCCCACCTCGCCGGACCATCCGATACAAACGTCGATCTACTCTGATGTCGATCCGAAACTGATGGACGAGATCAAGTCAATTGACCTGCCAAAGTCTTACGGATCCAAGATCGATACTTTAGGTCGCCACCTCCACTGGATTCGAGAGCATGATCCTGGCGCCAAGTCCATCGTCTTCTCCCAATATCGAGAGTTCTTGGATGTGCTAGGCTCTGCTCTTCGTGAGTTCAAGATCGGCTATGCGCGACTTGGACGGGCTGGATCAGTGGAAAAGTTCCGCAACGACCCAAGCATCGATTGCCTGTTGCTGGATGCCAAGACGGACTCTTCCGGCCTGACCCTCGTCAACGCTACTCATGTCTTCATATGCGAGCCTCTCATTCAGACCGCGGTAGAACTCCAAGCAATCGCTCGTGTCCATCGAATTGGCCAGACGCGGCCAACGACAGTTTGGATGTACCTCATCAACGAGACCGTGGAAGAATCAATCTACGAGATCTCGGTTGCTCGCCGGCTCTCGCACATGCAGTCCCGTCAACAGCAGGGTGAATCGAAACAGAAGTCACGCGCAAGCACGCCAGCGCCATTGGAAAACGCACTCGATGCCGCCAACTCAGAAGAGCTGCAATCAGCGCCCCTGACTAAGCTCCTCGTCACTGGCAAAGCCGAAGGTGAGCTCGTGGGCAATGACGATCTCTGGCAGTGTTTGTTCGGCAAGGCCCAGACAGCGACTGCCAATCCTGCTGTCGCTCGAGAAGTCGGCCGTCATTTGAGGGCCGAGGCTGCTGAGCAGCGTAGGGGTGGCGAGTCCTCCATGGCGTGATGCTGCGTTGTCAGGTCAGAGGTATGTAGCATCAAAACATCTTTATACCCCGTGAACTCTTTTGGTGTCAGTTTGTTCGCACTCATGATCCCTACAGCCTCTCGATATGTCCGTCATGAGAGCCTCAGCAACCCAATGTCGAACCTGTGATACTTGCAAACGAGTGTTTATCCACACTATCTAATTGCTTCGCAGGTCATTGCTCGCAGCCTCATGACATGTGGACGGTCATGTTCAAGATCATTCACCTTCGACGAGCTTGCTGGCCTCAACGATGGTCCTTGTGGACAGCTCACCTGCCACTGCTGCAGAGGCCTACATCAAGATCCTTTCTTTCACCTTTTGGTCCTCCTTTCTTCCATTCAAACCTACCAACAACCGCAGCAACAGCACACGAACCCTTTGCAAAGCCTTTCAAACGCATTCAATCCACCTTTCAAATATCCGCCGTCATGAACCCTTCCTCTAATCCTTCGGGATCTGGATCTGGATCGGGCTCTGGCTCCGGTGCTTCAGGCTCCGGTCCCTCTCCTTCAGGCTCCGGTCCCTCTCCTTCAGGCTCCGGTCCCTCTCCTTCAGGCTACGGTCCCTCTACTTCAGGCTACGGTCCCTCTGCTGGCTGGCCTGTACCTGATCCCGATCCCGGTCCCGATCCAGAAGCGCCCCCTATGTACCCAGCTGCGCTAGTATCCGATACGGAGGATTTTGCCCGGGCTGGATCGAAAATGCGAGATTGGATGCTTATGACTTCTGCCGAGTTGGCTCAGGATGCAGACGCACCGAAAGAGGCGAACACTTTTCATAAATTCGAAGGTTGGGGATGGGTCGCGCTGGACGTGGACTCTGAGGGGGTCCTAAAGGAGATTCTGAAGCCATACCAGGACACGCTGAATGGAATCCTGGGGGTGAATCACATCCAAGGCACAAAGCGTATGGAGGATCCCGTCAACTTGCAAACGGACACAACGGCCTGGACGATATTGAAGCAAGAGCAGACTTACGTTCCGGGTCCCCACCCGCAGTACAATGCGAGTAGCCACCCGCAGGCAGTGAGTGTGTTTAATTGACAACCGACGTGCAGTCACTTACTACTACTGCAGCTACCGCCCACAAACGCTTTCTGTTCTCAATTTTACTCCCAGGACAGTAAGCTGGTCATCATCGACACATTCGTCAGCCCAAAACTTATCGGAGGACGTGCCGATGATACGTCGCCCTGGCTGCGACATTGGTCCGACCTAACCTTTCTCGAATGGGCCAGAGTCTGCGAAAGGCCAGCCATCTCGAAACGCGAAAGGTTACCTCCACCCAAATGGTTTGTGGCCCGAGCTGTGTGCGATCCAGACGCTGTAATGAGAGCTATCAGCTACTGCGTTCGCACATACACTGGCCAGGACCAGATCCCACCGTGGCCGGGTATCACATTCCCAATCGGCACGTACTGTTTCAACGTATTGATGGGAATCGATGTCGGCAGGCGTATTGGCATGTTCCTACTCACGCACAAAAAGAGATTCAACGCTCTTAGGACCACTGAAGCGGCCTATTCGGTGGACTCTATCACGATTTTCTGGTTCCCTGGTGACAATGACCCCACCCATCAGAAACCAAGTCTGTTGTTTCATATCGGGGAAGCCGATAACTCATGGAAACAGATTCATCGGGTTAAACCAATCAATGATGCACATAAGGAGGCTGGGTTAGAGATTGCGGGCTCTGGTGTCAACGAACAATTCCCCCATCCCATGACGCCAGTCAAGAAAGCCGGAGTCTAGCAGACTTGGTAAACCTTGGGTCAGCAGCTCTGCGAGTACATAGAGATCTTTGTTCAGGAGACTCTCATTAGGTGTGGCGGATATGAGTGTTGTGCATTCGGATCTAGTAGCACGGTTTGCACGTTTCTGAAGGGGATGGGAGTTTGTTGGCAGTGATTTTGGAGGTACGGATGAGAGTGCTACTTGCACATCTGAGGGCAGGTCCCTTGAAATCCTTGATACCGATTGATACAGATGTGCGAGTGCTTCTTGTATGTACGTATGTTCCGAGGGCAGGTCCCGAGGAGATGTATTCCAATGAGTTTGCGATTCTGTTCGCTCCAGATCTGGGAATTTGGAATGCTCTCTTGCGCTGTCGGTCGATCTATCTCGCATCGTAGCCTTTCGTCACGCACCTCGCTAAGCCGAAGGAACTTGAGGGTCCTAGTACCGACTACGAAGAATGAGCTTCGCGACAGAAGTGGACAGTGCCCCAAACACTGTCAAGCTTCGACGAGATCTTGACAATGCGGCCGCACACCGTACTGTACAGGATCGTAGGTCTGATGCATGTTGACATTATCTTAGGGAAGGCAGGAAGTGTCTGCGATGACACGTTATAGATAGTCCTCCATGGACAAGATCTGCATGCTCTATATACATCTGACGCTATATTGTATAGTATGTAGCATATTTACAATCTCTTGAACTGCTGTACGAGCTTCCTCAGTGTTTGGATCGTGGATTCTTGCTTACATTCCCGTGGTAAGAAGGGTTTGCTGTTGCTGTCACTGTTCTTGGCATGCTGACCTGACTGTTCGCTCGATACGCTGCTGCGAGTGCATGCTGCGATGCTAGTCGTGAGGGATGGTCCTCGACGAGTACTCGTTTCCGAATCTCGACGACATACTCGAGTAGCTGAACTGCCTCCTTCACCTGTCCGTTTGCCTGGTATGCTATTGCAAGTGCGTGCTGCGATACTAGTCGATTGGGATGGTCCTCGACGA